TCTGGACAATCTGTCAACACAGAGACAGACAGGACAAACAACCATCTGACACCTCGGGAGAATTTAGAGAGAACAATTGTTAAGGGATCTGAACATTTTATCCAGGCACTGTATGCGTTATTAAGAGCAAAACGTGTGTGTCCTGAAGAGGAAAGGGCCGAATGAGTCGCTGGAGGAGTTCTGGTTATCTGTCTCAGGCCCCATGTTTGCCTCAGTGATCGCAGCTCGAACCATCAGGAAGTGCACTTTCTCTCCTTGTTAACGTGAGCCACGACTTTCATTGAACTGGAAGCACACCGCAGAGATAAGGGCTCCGATCAGGCTGGCTGTGGTGGTGGAACCAGTGAGAAAACATGGTGGACGGAGCCATCTGGACAGCTTTTCTCCGGCCTCGCTCTGCTGAGCACAAAGCTGGGGCCACCTGTCTCATCGGCTGCACAATCCAGCTGAAGCCTAGTATCACAAGGATTGCAAGACAAGATAATATGGGTGTGCATGTGTTTCCTATCCTTGAGTGAGAAAGAGAGAGAAGGAAAGAAAAAGAGAGAGAGAAAGAGAGGGGAGAAAATGAACAGAAGAGAAGAGTTTCCTAAAAGCCTGAAGCATTACTTTTTTTATGTCAGACGATATGCATATTATCTTTCAGCTTATTGACTGTGGCTTGGACAAGGTCACAGTGAAAAGCTTCGGGGACAATATTCTCCCAGAGTAAATAGGACTTTATCTGTTTTCATTGGCAAAACATTTGGCATAAAAGAAGGAACATTGAGAAAGCGCAAGTAATTCCAAATCATTGTACTAACGCAATGAGTATTGGATGAGAATATTACATCTTTCATATTTTATTTGTATTTCAATGTAAATTACAATGGACAAAATCACACTTTCTTTGCAATCAGAGGTGTATTCAGTGAAAGTACGAAGGAGAGGAAAAAATTAGTGATCAGATAGAAAGCAATCGTGCCTTGTATCTGTAAATAATAGATTTGTATTACTGTCTTCTAAAATCACAAGGTAAGCTTTTTAAATAAAGGCAACAGTTTACTTGATAACATTTAAAAGACGAATATGAACATTATATAACAGACATACAAAAGTTGAGAAGCTTTTTTTTGTCTGATAAATACTAGTTTAATCAAGACAGACTAAATAAAATAGTATTTGTGTTCCTATGCTTATGCGTTTGGAAGACACTTTTTCCAAAGTGACTCACAAATGAGGAAATAGTTTTAATTAATATCAAATCTGATTTTGAGCTGCCTCTAGTCATGTTCTGTCTGAGATCTTATGGGTCAAAGTGTAAAAAGAGAATAAGTCTACAACGAGCTCTGAAGAGCAGGATCTTTATGAGTTTTTGAAACAAAGACATGGGAGCCCTTGTTCTGTTAACTCTCAGCTTTTCTGCTGTTCAGAAACAATAAAAAAAATACAGATATTAAAAAAAGCATTCTAAAGCATTTTTACTGGCATACAGTGTGACAGTGGGCACACGCCAAGTGGGCCAATATGTGAGTATTTCCAGTAAATTTCAATCAGCTAGTTAACATTGATATGCCACAAACATTTCCTTAAAGATCTCAGTCAGTCAGTCAGGTGGTCAGAAAGTGGCTGGAAATCTCAGTTTTGTTCAATATCAAAATTGGTGCAAAATCAGTTACTTTTCAGCCAATCACATTGAAAAGGTTTTGTAGGAAACTTGCCTACAAAACTCTTGCCTGTCCTTAATAAGCAATCACACTTAAATGGGTGTACTCATGAACTGTCAAGCAGTATATGATCTGAATAGAAAGAAGGGATTTGCGCTTAAATCAATGGTAAAGGGTGTGCCAGGAGTAGGTCTAGACGATCAGTCCAAGCATTATGGGAGCATTACATATTACAACATAAAAGATCAATCGTGAAACACAAATGACCAGAGATTACTTGCTGATTAATACAATGAATTTATCATATTGTGTGGATACAAAAACTGTAATAATCACTCAAGACATTTTTATCTTGGCTCCCAAACAACTTCACTATGTTTATATTAAACATATAATATAGACATCTGATGTTTATATAATATGATTATATAAAGGGTCATAAAGGGTGTTGGATCCTATCTGGTTGATCCACCTTTTGAAATGGTGGATCAACCTCGTTGGGTGACACTTTGGTTACCCAACGATGTCAATGTCAGATCCTTCTGTCGCCACTTTATTGTGCTGTTAGATAGCAGGTCTTGGCGGTTTGTGTTGATCCGTTTGTATATTAAGGGAAATCAAAAGAGTTTAAGTATTTTCTACCACTATGTGACATGAACAACTAAGAATACTTGCAATTCTGTTGTCACAATATTGTTGTTATAATATGAGGTTGGAATATGACTTTATAGTGCATAGTTTCAACATATAACATCGCAAACAGTATTAAGTTAAAAACCTCTGCCTTTGAACTTACAATTTCAAAGATTTGTTTTATTGTTCTCATGTCAATAGCAATATTTTAAAAGCATTTACTAAATAAAAATTGCTTTTAAAAAAATAACCACAGGTATTTACAAAAAAAAGGGTAAAAATAAGATTTTTTTTTTGTCAGTTATGCCTAGTGGTCATTATGTTTCATCACATTTCCTTAAAATAAGCAATCACACCAACTCTGGCTGGCACTGCACTGTCAGAATAAAATGATATGAAGCCAATCTGCTAATTTATCAAAATGTGTAAATATAAATGGAATATTCAGGATGCTTTCTGCAGGTGAAAAAAAAAAAAAGTTTACAAATGTTAAATGAGCCTGAAAGAAAAAAAAAGTTTTGAAAAGTATCTTCTGCATCTCTAAAGACATTCATGCTTCCTTTTATTGATATGAAAAACAAAAACCTACTTTAAGTAGCCTCTCCCCCCCAGTAAGTGTTTGTTTCTGAAGGCTAATCAATCCCTAGCCAATCAAGGAGTAAACCCAAATGGACCACTTTGTCTTTAAACCTAACAGCCAGGGGTCTCGCCCTCTAATTAATCTGACATGTCCCTCAGCTAAGTACTGGATCAGTTTGTGGGTCTGCTGCATTATGCAGCGTAGCCGTGGGTGGCAGAGGAAGTCGGTGGGCTGGAGTCACATTACTCTGCAAAGTCTCAGAGATGAAATGAAATTAATAGAAGAGGAGTTGAGGGCAGGGAGGGGGAGCATTATGATGAAATAGGAGAAAAGGGAAGTAATAAGGTAAAGCGAAAAAGACGGAAGCTGAGATCAAATGGTCCCAGGTCTTTGATTTCAATTGTAGATGCTTGCCACTGTAATCACATTGTGGTGTCCTTCGAACTGTGTGAAAAGTTTTAAAATGTGTTGACAAGATTTCTGCACATAGGTCGTCCATAACTTAGTGTGATCCTGATCAAAAGGTAAAACAAAAGACATAAACGCTATAATATATATCTTACTCAAGCAGTGTGTGGCAACTGCCTGACAACATGAAAAATGCAAAAAGAAAAGAAAATCTCACAATTTAATATATTGGACTATAATCAAAAGAAATTCAAGGCCATTGAGGAAAAAGGCAATAAATGTTGTCAGTCTCGAATGGGTTATGAGGTCAATAGTAAGATTTTTGGGACTCCAACAAACCACAATGAGAGTCATTATCTGGAAATGGAGAAAATATGAAAAATGGTGGCCGACCTTTCAAAGTTACTCCAAGAGCACATTGATGACTCACCCAAGAGATCACAAAAGAATCCAGAACAACATCTAAAGCAATCCAGGCTTTAATTTCTTTAGTTAAGGTCAGTGTTCCTGGTGTCATAATAAGACAGAGACTGAGCAACAAATTACACAATATTATGTATCATCTGTGGTTGAGTTTGAAGACGAAAACCACTTCTGACCATAGAAAACACCAAGACAGCGATCACATTTGACAAAAACCATCCTGATGATCTCCAATACTTTTAGGACAATATGTGGGGCAATCGTGGTAGGAGTTTGTCCTGCATACTGGTGGTTCCAGTCCCCTCTATGTCTGACTCACTCTTTGCGTCCTTGGCCAAAATACTTCACCACCTTTCCTGCTGGTGGTCAGAGGGTCCGGTGGCACAGATGCATAGCAGCCTCTCTTCTGTCAGCCGACCCCAAGGCAGCTGCAGTGACTGTAGCGTGCGCTCGCGTGTGTGTGTATGCGTGTGGGTGTGTGTGCGTGTGGGTGTGTGAGTGTGGGTGTTGTGTGTGTGCGTTTGTGCAAGTGTGAATGACTGAATGTCGTGTAAAGCACCTTAATTAGTCATCTGGACTTGATAAAGTGCTTTACAAGTACAGGCCATTCTTATAACTGACGATGAAACAAGAAGCAGTTTGAAACACCTAAAATATAACTAACACTTTAATAAAAATTATTCCAACAGTCAAACATGGAAGTGGTAGCGTGATGGTATGTGTCTCTTTCATTGCATTACGATCTGAGTGACCTAACATGATTTACGAAACATGAAGAAGAATGCCTGGCCGTCATCGCTTAAACTCAAGCATCCTTCGATGTTTGAAGTACTGAAATTATCCAAAGAACATCAGAAAGTTCACCTCTGAATGGCTAACAAGAAATTTAAAAAATTGTTTTTGGCCAAGTAAAACTACACACCTAAGTTCAATTTAGATCACAAATCACTCATGAAGAAAACTCTTATAAAAGCCATATAAAAGACACACTGCTATTTTGCAAACACTTGATATGTAGACAGTCCGGATATCTAATTACCGTCAATAAATCACTACATCATTGAAAACTATATTTTTATTTATGTCTCTTTCTATATTTGTCTCACATTAAAATGTATTTGAAACAGACAAAAATCTGACTGGGGGAATATGCTTTTTAGAAAGCATTATTCATTGAAGTTAGGTTCCATACAACTAAGTTTAGAATTGCCATTGTGATTGAAGGAAGGAGGAATATCCTAAACTGAACAAAAACTGCAGCTAAGTCTTGTCCGTCTATCAGCTCTCCTGTTCTGTTGACAAATCAGTCATAAAAACCAGAATAAGTTTATTTTGTAAGCTGTGTACATTTTAAACAGATCAACTGACAGCCAAGTATCTTTTTCCCCCCTTTGCTCTTTTATTGTTGATCATTATCCATCACAGGAAACTCTTTTATGACTCTGATATACATCTGTTCCCCCACTATTGTTCCCCTTAAATAAACCAATTTTCTCCACAAATACAATGGTCAAAAACACAGTAGTCATGTATGCTTCTTACAGATAAAAACATGGGAATTCAGTGATGCCGTGCTGGCAGTCGCAGCCATAACCAGAGAGCTTAGGAATGGTTTAAGTACAATACACACACACGCACACACACGGTGGGTAAAATAACTCATATGCAGAGCAACATAAGCTGAAATCAATAAAATGAAATGCAAAGCAGAATAATTCATACGTGCTTTGATGAGTGCAGCGATCAACACTCAAAGTTTGATGTCTAACAACATGAAAAAAAATGATCACAAAGTCATTTACAGCACATTCAGCTTTATGGCTATGCAGTGGTTACTTACTGAACGTCTTTACGTAGAGCAGACATATAACATATTATTCATATAGTATTCACAGAACAATATACATCTGTATGTACACATTCCTTCCACTTTCAAGGAAAAAAGTGTCCAGGCACTTTCTCCAGCAAACCTGGAGCCAGATCATTGACCATTGCTCTTTAGCTTCCCATCAAAACTCAAGCTGCTTTAAATGTGTGTGTGTGAACAATTCCTCCTCACACAGTCCATTGCTTGAAATGAAGTGGACTGGGAGCTGCAAACTATCAAGAGTTTGCCTGTAGCTGCCATTTTTCAGCTTCAGTGGGCATCTGACTGTCTCCATGTTTATCAAGGTAAGTCCTGAAGCCTTCACCGCCCACCTGCAGACCTCTTCAGCAGGAGCCTCAGGATAGATGGTTGAGCATAACGTGTTTAAAGTGGTGATAATAGAAAGTACTATATATTCAGAGGTTGTTGAAAAAAAGGTAAATAATTTATTAGGCATGGGTTGGTTTGAAATTGACGATGATTAGCCTGAGAAAATATGCCTTTGTAGCTTACGATGAAGTTAAAAATGTATAATTGTTTTTCTTGGGCTTGTAGCTAAACCATGACAGACATGGTCATTATAGCTCCACCTGTATATGCATAGTAATATTTTGATTAATTTATTTTGGTGTATAGACATAAAGAACACAAGTGTCCTGGTAGGTACTGGTCCTTCAAATCAACCTCAAATTTTAAATCAGCTTAAAAATGATGTGTTACAAAGTTATTTAAAACGGTGCAGGGCTTTAAATTTCTTCAACCTATCATTTTAATTTCTTTTTTTGTCTGTCAAGTACGAATACCTGGTCCCTCGTATGGGGTGTTTTGTTCCAGCCATGCATAAATTCAAACTAGGATTTTTAGGATTTTTTATCATGAGTATTAATAGATGCTTTCTGGCAAGACAGAGTGATAAGTAATTGATTAAGGTAGTAGCTGCAACAAGTAAATGTAACAAGATCTTGCTACATTATCTCTTCGAATCGAACCTGATGTTTATTTCTACACTGAACAGAGATTTTTTCAAAACTAGATTTTAGTCATATAAATCATCTTTTCTCATTTTTAAAATGCTTCATTGTTGCTTCATCATTTGTTCATCATGTGGTTTTTTTATTCTTTGGCATTTTAACCAGGCTCTATTCGGAAACCATAGGTTCAGTTAAAACTCGAAATAACGCTGAGTAAATTGCTAAAAATGAAGCTATGACCTGGTGAATTAAAAACAAATGGCATCCTAATAAGATGTAAAATCTACAGCACTTAAGAATTATCTGATGTCTGTCCTTTAGAAATTGAAACATCAAATTAATTCTGTACTTATTAAAACCTGAAAAGGGATTAAAGCAAATGACATATTTATCCTGACATTTTAAGGCTGTGTAGAAACTTTTTCTTCTTGTTTTTCATATGAAATAAAACAACAACCTGTGTGATAAATTAAACAGGAAACCAGCCCATGACTAGAATAAATCAGATTTTTTTCTCTCTCTAATTCTGAATTTCCTAACATTGGCTCAGCTCATTAGGTGCCTCCCATATTTCAACCTGTACCAGGCACAAACAGATCCAGTAGTCAGCAACACCGACCTGTAGGAAAGATTTTTTTAAAATCTGGCAGGTGGTAATCATACATCAGCTGCTCAGGCCAGATATTATTATTCCTGCTCTATACTATACAATATTCTTACCAAAAATAGGATGTGAATCTGCTAGTAGGCTCAGTAACAAGTACTGGTGCAGGATGTGTGTGTTTTCTCTCTGCACAATCTTAATGCACCTTTTTTATTATACAGGACATATTCAATTTACACCACTAATGACAACTCATTTCAATGCAAAAAATTCTCAAAATCCCACTTCTGAAATGCTCCAATTGAAACTGATTTAGTTCGTTTTGATAGTTTACAGACTAACCAAATGCTTCAGACAACAAAATAGTGAAATCTGTTAACACTGCACTGGTAAGACACATCACCACAGTATTAATGAGAACATCAGTTTTCACATCAGCAGTATGGCAGCTGAGCACAGTTTCCCACTGATCCTTCTTCTTTTAAAATACAAACAATCACTTTGACGATGCAGTTCGTACTGTATGCTTACTGACATACATCAGGATGTAGCAGAAGAAACGAAGCAAAAGGATTCAAGTCAGTCAGTGGGATTGGCACTGTGAGAGTAATGAGACATGAATCTCGTTGTGTCACCAGAACTCCTGCTGCGCTGCCTGGAGATGCCCGGCTACAGCAACATGGTAACCCAGCACGCACGTAATGGCAAAACACATCACACTGCAATACTATACAGTTACTGTCTCAATACTGCTGAATTCTGACTCTCAGTTCCAGTTCTGAATAAGGTTTCCTCCAGCAGGATAATATTTTTTTAATTGATCTGTAGATTTGAACAAAACAATTTTTTAACCATTATACAATAAGGCAGTTCATGGTATTGTACATAAGTCATGCCACAATCACAATGGATTGTTGTTGCAGAGTGAAAAAAATAATTTACCCAAGTTTGGGTAACTCAGCTGCAGCTTTGGAATAACCATCCAGTTTCCTTCCTGTTTAGATGAAATGATGAAGCATAGCCACGGCGAGCCTTCCTTAGCGTAGGGTCTGGATGTTGTTTTAGCACAAGAGGTTCAGTTCAAGAGGCAAAGTGGACCAGTGAAACAAAAAAAAATATCAAAAGAGATAAACATCACCAACAAGGAGGAAATAACAACTTTACATTAAAGGTTAAATGTTTGAACCTTTCTTTTTTTTTTTTTTTTTTTTTTTTTTAGCTTTCCTTCTCGGTTAGTTCAAAGCCGAGTCTACAGGTCCAAACTTTAAAGAAGAGGGGAGGTCACAGGTTGGCCCCAAAGCACATCCTCAGCGCAGTGGGAAACTGCTGGCGCTGTCGTAAACATTTAGCTGCTATCTGTCTTCAAAGCAGTCCAAGTACTCCAGGACAAGGTCATAGCAGAATCGATACTGGTCCTGAAGAAAAACACAGCCAAAGATAAAAACTCAACATTTTCCCCTCTACTTTTTATAAAAAACAAATTCACAGATTTTATTTTATTTTTTTGATTTTTGTATTTCTTACCAGGGACTCCACCATGTTGGGTTTGCAGTTGCGTAGAGTTTTGACAGAATAAAAGACGTCCACCATGTTCTGGTACTGGATCATCTCCAGGAGGATGTTGCAGGCACAGAAGGTCCCACTACGACCACCACCATTGCTATGGGAAGAAATAAAACTGGTTTTAATGATAGCAACATTTCCTACAATTAGTGGTACCTCTTTAAAAAAACTAAATTACCATAAAAACTCTGAGTGGTGATGGTACTTTGAAAAACTGTCTTTGATTGCCCATCATACAAAACATTTTAGTCAAGAGCAGAAGGAACTCAAAGTAAACCAAAAACAAGCAGTTCTTTGGATACTCGTCAAGCAGTTACCAGCCATCTATCAGCTTACCCTAACTGAATAGTTAACTGCAATATCATCTATTGTGTCTGTCTAACTTGTGAACAGTTGTCAGATTTCCTGTTTCTGTATGTTAAAATGACAGAAGAGCTGGTCAGAATAAACAGGACAACAAAAATATTAACACAAGGCTTGATGCCCGAAGCAGTTTAATGAGGATCTATTTGGTTCAAAGTGTCAACATGGAGTGAAAATGAGGATGAGATGAAATGAGAATCAATAAAGGTCTAGAGAAAGCTGTGTTGTGTGCAGAACTTCAAATAATATTTGAATGCTATTTAAAACAGTTCTGAAAATGCTCTTTGCTTGCAAAAATTATGATAAAATTATGATAATCTTGACTTTTTTGAGCTTGTCCAGTGGTTTGTGTAGTAGGGTGTGATAGCATTGTTTTAATCTTCTGGTTCCCCTACAGTATAGAAGATGGATGAATGGGGATTTTAAATTATATATATAAGGTACATGTATATATAGACCTCAATGTTATGTCTAAACTATTGTTACAACATCATGTGTTGGTGGGCATGTGGAGTGATGTTTGCTTTTCTTATCACTCATGATTTTTATATCATTAAAACCCCAGTTGTTTGGGAAAATCATTGTCATAAAACAACAAAGTCAAATCTGCAAACTGGATACATACTAATTTGACATTGGTTTTGCTCTGCATCACAATATTTTGTGCTACATTTTACATTCTCTTGCACTTTTTTCAACACCTTTTTCTGCTGGTCCACATAAAGAGGCCAATTTAGCAGTTCCCAGAACACATTTACAACTCACTGCTTCCCCCCAAAGGTCCAAAATGTTGGGCCAGACTCTCTTTTCCTCTGGTTTATGGCAAGCCCTCCGATTTCATCTGCATTCTTTCTGAATCTAACTTCAATAGGTATAGCAGTGGTGTAACTGATAGCACAAAAGAAAGCATCATTATGGCTAACATTTTTACTAAATTCCCACAGGGGTTGAATACAAAGCTCAAATGTCCCAGTTTTGTGCACATACACATCTGCTCCCTGTTTGACCCATTATATACTTGTGTGCTGCAATCATAATCATGACAACCAAAGCACAACCATGGCTGCAGACACAATCACAGTGACAGGCCGTGTCATCCCACCGACAGTCATAATCACAGCTACAGTATGAATTAGTCTGTGTGAGACATGGATGAATCAACTCCGTGAGTTTCGTATCTAAATGCAGAGATTCACAGTTGTTGTCTGAGCGTACACAGCTTAAGGCAAATGCTGAGGCCACAGACAGGATCATTTAAAGACATGCACAGCATGCAGGACTGCGTCAATCCTGTGTGAATCAAAGGGAAACGAAAAAGGCCTGCAAGGTTAGAGAGATGTGAGGGACTGCTAAACATGACGGAAGAAAACACAAAGCTTTCGGAAATAATAAACTCTCTTCTCTGATCCACTCATTCAAATCTTCCTGGTAAAAGAATAACGTTCTTAAAATACTAGAAATTGTCCTAGTACTTCTCTGAATTAGGAGAAAGGACAAGTTGGATTTAGTTCAGCCTATTTTGGCCTCCAATATATCATATCAGTAAGTAGTAGCTGGATCACCATGAAATTTAGCTTAGATCAGTCCTGATGGTCCCTGAAGGATTTTTCCCTGGAGGTTTCCTTCAGATTCAATATTAAGGTGGCATTTGCAGTGTTCCGATGAATTGGTGTGAGATTTTTTTAAGCTTTCAATTTTCCTCTAAGGATAAATATTTGATCTGATCAATAAAACTAATTAACCTGCATGCTGCAGCATTGAGTATTTAGAATTTTAAGTGTTAGTCTTTCAGCAATTTCTAAAACTGGTGTCATTGTCAGTGTCTATTTAAATCCCTGTTCACATTATGTCACATTAAAACTCCAAACTTCAATGTATCACATTTGAATTTTATGAGTTTGATCAACACAAAATAAGTTTAATTTATTTGTGGAGTGGAAAGAAAAAAATGAAAGATGTTGAGGGCATTTGTATTCATCCGCCAATACTTTGTTGAATCACCATTAAAGCTGTAAGTCTTCTGGGTCTGTCTTTTAAAAAAATACATCTACAGAATAAAATTCTACCTTAAATAGTTCAAACTCCGTAAGACTAGATGCTGACCATCTTTGAATATCAATTTTCATCTCTTTCTGCAAACTCTCGATTGGATTTAGGCTGTAGACACTAAATGGGCTACATGCTAATGCATGAATATATTTCGCCCAATCCAGGAATCTCAAACTGTCGTCTCCAGGGGCCAGCATCCTGAAATGTTTAAATGTGCATATCCTTAAACACGAACAGGTAAATAGATAATTTATTAGCATATCATTGTAGTATGGAATTAGATTTGGGTCATGATCAGACGTGTGATAACATTGTCTTTCACTGCTGTAATAAAAGTCGATCTTATTCCATCCTACACAAATCTTAAAGCAGAGTTTAAGTGTTGGGCTATTTCCCTGCAGGAGAATACATTCGAACTTCACGTGAAGCTGGAATTAAACAGACCAGCTTCACAACTAAGCTGCCCACTGAACCACGGTCTCGCACAAAGTTTGTGCAGCTACTTAAATGTTTTCTTCCAGAGTTGCTCTGTATTCCTCCCAATTCGTCACTGTTTTAATCCAAAAGGTTAAGTTTAGGTCTCACCTGAGCCAGACATAGTGTTTCCCATGTTTGTTTTTCTAACAAACCTCTGAAGCATTACAGATTATCTGCATTTATGCAAAAATGAAAGAACACAAGTAGGTTATTTCTAGAGGCTCTTGGTTCAGTAGATTTCATTTCAGCAGTGGTGCAAAAAACAAATAGGAAACACTCAGTATTAAAATATTATTTGTGGAAAAAAAGTAAAATATTGTTTCATTCTCACATTCTTCCAGCACGTGAAACACTGAATTTTGTGGTATTACTGTGAAAAGATTCAAAGGTTAACAGATTAGGCGCTGAGAAGGCAATGCAGGCCTGCATTTTATGGTCTCTTAATTAGCTGTAAGTACCACATGTGCCACCTTATTGTACATAACAAATAGATTTCTGTCCCCCCAGTAAATAAGGTTTTTAAATGTTTAACTCAGTTCTGGGAGACAACAATGGAGTTTCTCGAAGCTACATCTGTGTAATCTGATTTGGATGTTTTTTTTTTGAGCTTTTGTTTATAACACTTCATAAAACAACATGAACTTGATACAGTACTTCATGCATTAACTAGAAATACGTCCTCTTTCCAAAGCATAAAAATAGCAGTATGAGAAACACTACAAGAAGCCATAAATTGAGAAACAACAGCACCGAGTGGCATGTCTGGTGAAATACTGTCCTGGTCATCAGAAATGAAAGGCAATATCTATAAAGTACTGGAGGACAATCCACTTCCTCTCTCCTGGGACAGACACAGCGAATGTGGGTGTGGGCAACTCTGCAGCGTATACAAGCAATATTAAGGTAATCAATCGTCGTCAGTGCTTTGGCAGTGCTGGATTTAGTGTAGTGAGAGCCATCGCATTCTGTATTAAGGCATAATTGATTTGATCTGAATAATCTCCCTCCTGGTTGTCGTGTGTAACGCTGTGTGACAGCACTGAGTGATGTGCTTTCGGATGAGGGGGAGAAGGGGTGGCGGGTACGAACGTGTGACGGGTCGGCAATGAGCTAGACAACCCATTCATATTCATCAGTAGGGTTTTCACTTCGGGGGCTTGGTGCGACAGGGGCTTGTGGACGTAGCATCCCGTTCTATACAGTACCACAGCACAGAGCATTACACCAAAATTAGATTTTCCACATTATAAAATGCTGCCATGCTGAATCGTGTTGCTTCTCATTGCACCAAATGACAGAGCAGGCTTGACACAGCCTCTGCCTCTCATCAAACAGATTTGCTTATGATGTACTGTGTTATTTTGTGATGCGCCCCTCTGAGTAGAAGCCTTTGGTTTTAAATGTCAGTCTTCACAAGCAGTCATTTGCTGTGTTAGACCCTTTCAGAAAGGAACAGAATGTTTTTTCTTCCTTGGCTTTCTGTTCTTTGACTTAAAATGCATTATAGATGTTCTGAAATGATAACTCACAGGCAGTGCACAACGGTGCGTCCTTCTCCACACTCCCTCTGCCACTTGTGCACTTGAGCCAGCAGGTTCAGGAAAGCCTTCTTGGAGTCAGGAACGTCGCGATACGCTGACCAGCGCAGGAACTGGAACTGACACACCACCAGCTGGCCCTCCTGGAGCTTCAGCAGCACAGACAAGATGAAAAAACACGTCAGATTTCACACACAGGCCACTATTGTTACCCACTTTTCACAGCTCCCAGATGTTTTTGGAACCAAGTTTTGAAATATAAAATACCTTTCTACAATGGTCAGGCTTTAAATGGACAGCTCAAACAGGATGGACTGATAAATTACTTCAGACAACTATAAAGTCTGGAAATGTAAACACCTTCCTATACTCCAATTTCTTCTCCTAAAATCTAATCCAATTGTAGAAAATCTTTGAAGTGAATTCTGTGTAAATCAGAGAGTTGTGAACGCTCCCCAAGCTGTCTGCAGGCACCTTCAGCTGTGCTCACTAAGCCTGACTGTCAGATATACGTGTCTGTAGGTGTAAGTGGGGGCCGTGTTCTGTGACAAAGAGGTCCCTGCGTATTCATAACCCTATCCTGTAGAATCTAACCTAACACTTAAGGACCAGTGGAGACCTGTAACTCATGCAAATTGGGCTTGCAAAGACACTCACGATGCATGGAGGAGTAGCTTGAGCAGAGGTGGGGATTTACACAGTCTGCATTTGCACCATTCTTCTCACACAGATTTGTGCTTACAATGCACTTCCTCTGCCTTTCCCCCCTACTCTTGAATACCACTGTCTGAAACAAGACATCTACCCAATATGGCATAGAGCGATTGGCTAAAAGTGGTTGAGGTATGTGTTATTTCTGTCTCATTTGATTCTGCCTGTGCTGTGTTAAGCTGCCCTCTCCCTGACTGTGATGTGCACCGAGTGGAAAAAAGGTGCCACAGGAAGAGAGGGGAATGACAAGGGCAGCCAACTGAGGAGGTAAGGGTGCCAATCAACAGAGGAAGTTGTCGCAGAGCTTATAATGGCACAGGGGAGAACACCCTGCATACAGATTCCCTCTATAATTAGGCCAACATTGATCCTGAGAAGAATGCATGCATGTGCTCATGCAAAGCTCTGTGCATAAAATATGTCTGCGTAGACACACTTAACACAATGCATTGTGTGAAGTTAAAATGGCTTTTAGATGGGGGTGGGGAGCAAACACTGGGTTGTAAGCACAGACCAATCACTGCCTTTGTTTGGTTTATATTAGAAACCATTTGAAACCATTTGTACTTGGGCACATAGGAACCAACTGAAGGAAAATCTGCTTTTGTGTCAAGAAATAGTCATATGTCAACAGTACTGATGATAAACACTGGACCTTTTGATATGCCCAATAGACACACAAGAAATGGAAAAGGGAAGAGAATGACTTTATATTGTATGTATACCAATGAACTTCTCTTGCATCAGTTTCATGGAAAGAACACTATTGATAATATTTTATTGCATAAATTTCAGGGTATGGTTGTGCAAAGCCTCTAAACACAACAAAGGGGTAGAAATAAAAAGAAATCATATGAATGTTTAGTTGTGCTGTGAGAAAATATGAAAAAGAGGAAAGAACTGTGTACTGTACAAAAGTCCTAAGTTCATTTTCAAGATACCAATTTTTTAAAATGGTCTTGAGCAATATTTATTTAGTTATCTGAGGTGCGTTCAGAGAAAATTATGAATTGTTAAAAACATTTGCACAATATTCTAGCTTTTACCTCAGCGGCCAATCTAAAAATACCAATTTTCAAGTATATTCTGCCTAGAAAAACAGGTAATAATGAATTCGATACAGAAGAAGAAGCATTTAGTCAGGGATATTAGATTTAACCCTTGACCTATTTTTCAAGTGCAGTTTATCTGGCAGCTTCTACGTACGTTGGTAAAATGTCACATCTAAATTCCCTGTGAAGATCACAGCTAATGCAACTCTAATAAGGTTTGGTGAGACAACATGTTCTGTGCAGCTCTTTTTGGTGTCATAATAACTCACCCTTGTGACGTTCTTGACCCGAAACAGACGGGTAATGACATCCTCATCCGCCGACATGGATAGGAACTCCACTTCCATGGGTCCGTACTGCTGTAAACCGGGCTCGGGCCAGTACTGCACACATGGCTGCGTAGAGGACCAGGGTCATAGAGAGAGATAAGTTTATTAGTGTCCGTCTGTGGTCTGTGCAGCTGTAATAAATAATATGCAAAGAGTAAACACTTGTGAATAATCAAAGTTAAAATGAAAAATCTCACAGATCCTAAGCATTTTATATCAGTAATGACTAAACTTGTGCTACTGCATTTATACTAAAATAGGCATGCAGCTGCCATAATGGTGTTATAGGAAAAGATGAGAAGCAGCCTGATAGATAATGCAAGGTGTTTGAATGCAACCAGAAGTGATATAGTCTAATCCAAAGTCACAAATAAGCTCTATAAGAAATTTCACAGCAGCATCTTCCAATCAACAAATAGCTGTTTTCAGGCAAACAGCCTCTTTTATACCCAAGGAAATGAAATAAGTTCAAATGACAGACAATTCAATACAGTATTGGACAGGAGTGCCTCCAAATTTTTATTTTCTAATACCAGACTTTCTAGTATATGTTGCTAACAAACCTGCTGAACAAGCAACACAAACTATTAACTTTATTTATATATATGTGAGAAATCAATGCAAAAAAATGTATATTTAGCATTGTGTGCATTTATGAATTTTAAAAGTGGGAAATATGTTCAGAGTTCAGGGTAATTAAACTAAAACTCTTTGAATAAGAGATGTGACAATCTGAATTGTGTGGCTTGTTTTCAGTCCCTGGTTTTTGCTTACCTCAGACCTGAAGTTAGTAAGTTTGAATTTTTGTTTCAGAGACATATAGAAAGATAACAACTCTGCACTGAAAACATTTTATTCAAACTCTCTTGCTCTGAGCGACCTTTCATCATACCATTTGTGACACAGCACATTAAAAACAAGGTGTTACTATTACAACATAACAAAGACAAAGTGATTGCATAATTGGCACCTAATTAGCAGTTTTAGCAGGGCTAGCATAATTACTACAACATAAAACTCCATGAACATTTCATGGAGAATGCAGACCGCACGTCTGAGACCAACAACTCTCAAATATTTCATGACAGGCTAAGGGTGAAAACTCACAGTTGTAAAACATTTGTTTTACTCCATTCAGACTTCCTTTCATCTGCAGAAAGTCTTGCTGTTTAAACAAACCACAGGCTTGTATTGATGTGTTATATAAGTAGCTTCTTACATCTCTGTCCTTCCTCAGATTTCACTTTAAAGAGCTCACTGACATTGAAAATGGTTAACATTATATCTTCTTCACTCAATAACAGAGTTCACATATTAGATAATTGTCCGTGACATTCTGTGGCACCACAGGAAATCTACTAATTGACGTGGAAAAAACAGGAGTTTTGAGTTTCTGTGCAGTCAGAAACTCAAAACTGACTAGATGGTAGACAAACTTTTAATTATTATTTTTAAGTGTGATAAAAAAAAAAGGCTGAGTAAACTGAATATATGAGTAAATGGAAAACAGGTACTGTCCTTATCCTTAATAAACTGCTGAAACATGCTGTCACTTGACACTGTTGGCTGCTACATTTGCTTCCAGCATGATGCTGAAGAAAATATGCAAAATTATTCTCCTTCATTTCTTTTGATCAGTTGGAAAACGCATTGTCTCGGTTAAAAATATTTGCCTTCTCTGAGGTACATCTCATAAATAATCATACTATGTTCAATGTCATTCAGTCAAAGCAACTCATCATGCTCCCTCCATACTAAACTGTGTAACATTGCTTATTCATTTCTTATTCAGTACCTGCCACATAAACAGGTTCAGGCACCCCCATTTTGGTCTCTGCACAGCAGTTTATTGATCATTAGGTGGTGTGTGTTTGTCAGTCTCCTATTATTCATGACAGCATGAAAGAGAAACATGGCAGAGCAGATAAAGTCCAACTGGTTTTTGTCTCTTCGCATATCCAGTCCTCACTTTTATAAATCTTACATCAGTTCAGAACTTTGATCCTAGCTCCTACTTAACTATCACGAATATGTTATTTTTTCCTCCCAAATGAAAAATATAAAGAAAGAAGTCTTTCTTTTTCTTTCATCATAATCAAGGTCATAATACTAGCTTTCATTTCACTGAATCTGTGCTTGATTACAGTAATGGTCCCTTTCTTTTTTCACAAACAAGGAGATGCCTCAACTTAATCAAAAGCAGAATAGAATAACCTCAAAGAAAGCCAAAGAGATATAATTTAATTTTAGATTTTTATGCCTTAAGCAGAATTTACAAGTATATGTACATACATATATGTGTTTTTATTCCATTTGCCTGAAAAGTCTGGCAGGCATTCATGGAAATACTTCATCAAAAGTAAGCAATATCATTTTTACCATAGTATTAGACAGGAATTTGTCTTAATTACATAATTTTCTCTGAATGACTTGTAGTCTAAACACTTATAGATGCATTTGGTTAAATTAGAATATAATCAAAACGTGTATTTACAGTATTTTGTTAATTCTTTCACAGATTTATTTCACGAAGAGTGACTAGGTTCAAGTATTTATAGTTATCAATGCTCTCCACAAAATGCATATAATGTGACTATTACAGAAGCTTGTATTCCTGCTTATTGAGGAAAGTTCAGAGGAAGAAAAAAGGTTGATAACAGCAGGCTTGACAGGGTGGTGAAACGCAGGGCATTAAGAACATGGGTCTGATTCCAAAGGCAGCTATCACATATATTTGCTCTTCCATAACACCTATGACCCACTGATATAGTAATGTCTGCAAATTGAGCTCTAAGAACTTTTTATGATTTTTTTATTGGCCTTCTTCAATGTTCAGATTTCAAAATTAGGTAATCAGGTAGTAATCATTGACTAGTTGACAGAAACCATCATCTGTAATACATCACTCCATCACTCCGTATAGAGTCTACAGAATGTGAAGTTTTGCTGTTTCTACTGTTAACGCTCAAACTGAATTGTTGCAGCATACATAAAGAAATTTGCTGGTATGAAAAAAAATGGGGCAGGCAACAAGGAGGACTCTGAAATTTCAACGTGGGATATTGCCTGCCGGTTTTTTAGGGCTATATCTAGAGAGCTGAAGTGTAGAAGTGTGATGGCTGTTATCTAGTCATGCCTGGAGATCAACATGGTGAGGGATCAAAGACTGACAAAAAGGCATGAAGCAAGATACAGAAATAGCAACAGGTAAGAAATGTGCAGTTCAAACATTTTGAGCCTGAAAGCAAAATCCTGCACAAGCAAACAGAGACTTGTGTGTTTTAGTGAAGTGAAATGTTTTGCTTATCTCAGTTCTACCTTTGTGCCAATAAATCACTTGGAATGAAAAAGAACAAAACCCTTTTCTCTCACCCAGGCGGAATTCGACTGGTTGAGCTGGTTGAGCATGACGACTGCTGTGCACCCGTAATCGAAAACCAGCCTCCAAAAATCCGCTGTGGTGCCCGGCAAAGGGTGAGGGGTCACAATGAAGGCAGCCTGCCGATGGAAGCTGTCAGCAAGAGCTGCATTGATGTAATTGTTACTCTCCCCCTCTGTGGTGACCAAGAAGGCCAGGGCGCGATCCGGCGGCAGGACGTCCATGCTGCGGTTCTTCTCTCGGTTTCTGGGCAACAGAGCGATGCTGCACTCCTCCACGTCCAGGTGGGGGGTCACAGAGTTCAGTGTCTACAAATGGAAATGTTAAGGATGGGAGCTGAGCATAAAAGGAAATCAAAGGAGCATTTTAGAAGTGATCCATGTGAGACACAACAGGAATCGAGGAGTGAGTCAGGCGGGAGGAGTGGAAACAAGGACACAGAGTGCAAAAACCAAATGTTAACTAAAATGTGCATTTCAAAGGCTCACACGATTTAGCACTCATGTCTGATCCCTTCACGTTCCTCTAATAGAACTTTTACTTTTATTTACCAAAGAAGCAACCATTTACTGTTTTTGTATTAAAAAAAGCTAACAGTGGGGAAGATCCAAGTCTGATAAAAGTCTTTTACAGATATAAAGTGTGAGTTTATTTAAATAAAAAAAAAACTTATTAAAATATAGTCTTGACCAACACCCACAAATCTACCAAAAAGTCTTGTCAATAAGTGGCAGTTTCATTGTTTAAGGCAGGATGGGTATATATTTATGATTCCTAATGCAATAAAAGAAATGTAAAACTTGTTAAGCCTTGGGAAATAGAACATTTTGAAGGTTTGATATATATTTGATATAAAGCAGAAGAAAAGGTTGAATAAGCTGAAAGCTGCCTTGACTTATTTTTATTCACACAAATATCGGCATTACTGCAAATATCTAATAGAATAATGGATGAGCTGGGCAAACTGACTTTCTAAAGATAAACATGATGAAGTTAGAGAAGAAAAATTACAAAGGCATTGCTGCAAACCAGTTCTCAGTGATAAACTCTCTCTCTCATTTGTTTCTAATTACTTTAGACAAAGTGATAAAATATTTGGATCATTAATGCACAGCATCAATAATAGATCTATGTGCTGCTGATCTCGGTACTGTTTGCAGTCTGAGAGGCAGAGCACACTGGGTGGTGAGCAGGCTTTTAAAGTCAACGCCAGACAGATGAGCGCGCAAGATCAAAGAGGGAGACATTAACATTTTCCCTCATGAAGAAGGAACAATTTGTAATCAGAGTGCTGCACCACCTACAGTGACATTCCTTAATCATAAACAATCCATCCATCAACGCTCCAGCGGCGTGCATACTGTATTGGAATAGAACAAAATGAAATTAAAGACGGAGTATAATCCTGTTCTTGTAGTGCTTTGAAATGCTAAACGTGGAATCGTGGGTTGAGCGCCACAGCAGACGGAGGTGGTTGAGGTGGGTAGGACATGTGGGAACGCAGCTGGCTCGTCATGTTCTTAATCAACATCTAATAAAATGTTCTGTAAGTGTGTTCCTGTAAACTGGGGGAGGCTCTTGATGTCAGTCACACAAAATTAAAAGTGAAATGAACACCTTTTTAACACAAATACACACACATCCAATAAATCTTTTGGCTTTTGCTCTATACTGATGTCAAAATCCGTCATAAAGCACATATTTACAGAAAATTAATTACGCAACTCATTTAGTTTGCATTGAAACCTTCAGGGTAAATATCAATCTCACCTGAAACTCCTCCCTCAGCGGAGAGGAGTTGCTCTGAGAATCCACCCGCAGCATCTCTTTGTATGTAACCGCAAACTCGTTCACCAAGATGGCCGTCTCTCCACACAGACAGGCCTCTAAAATGGCATCATGGATAAAAATATACTGCTCCTGAAATGACAACAGGTCAAGAAATGTATTGCTGTTCATTGAATGTGCACATGTGTCATTTCAGAAAACGCATCAGGGTTGCACTGAAGTGAGAGTAAAAAACTGAACAAGAGGGGAAACTAAAAATCACGGCACTTGGCAAAAGTATTTTCTTTTTCAGGGCTGGATCCAAACTCCTTCGCCTTCTTTAAAGGTTTTATGTTTTTTTGTTGCAAAAAAAATGTTAAGCCGATGCTAACACTTCACCGATACACACCGCTTTGTGCTGCTGCAGCATAAAAACCTCATTCATTTATAAATGTTCCTCATAACCGCCAAGGTAATATATGTACAGTCATATTCAACAAGTTAAATTATGTTTTCCAAAGAGCATTGTAAGTGCTTTTTTTTTTTCAAATTAACAACCCTTAGCCAGTTATGAAACATGATTTTTGTTGACACCACATTTCTTTATTCAAAATAGTTTGTTTTTATTGATCTGATGTAATATTTTAATCTTAAATATTTTTTAGCTGGAAGCAGAAAATCATCATAAATATCAGAAATAGATGCTTGAAAACACATGTTGGTGTGTAATTAATCTATATCATGCCACTTAGTGACTTGACTTAATGAAATAAAGGAACTTTTGACCAATGTCTCAGGTTTTTGAATAGGACTGTATATCATTGATACCCATTGGAGCAAATTCAATAAATACCAACTATCATACTGACAGATCTTTGTTGACACATAGTTGTCAGAATAAATTCCATATAATTTGCAATGTCATTATCTATATTTATGTCTTTATATTCAAATAACAAGCTCTGTTTAGTTTAACCTTTAGCTTACACAAAATAAAGCAAATAGTTGTTAGAGAAGCATAATTTTCTGATATAAGGAATAAATGTAAAGAAAATCAACCTGTAAGAGGTCTAAGTTTGTGGTTTGAACATAAAGTGTGAAAAAGTATTGCATGTTTGAATAAACACTCAAACAACATAAAGTGATTTTTACTAAACCTTGGCTTAATGCTAGTGTTGCTTGTAGTAGGATGTAAACAAAATATGCACAGGGAATTTATGGTCAGACTGAAATACAACTATGTCAATGTATTCACATTGCAAGGGGCAGCTATTTAATTTCCTGAACCATCCAGAAGACAGCTCATATACCCACACACTGCACAGTGACAGACTCCTTATTTCATTTAAAAATATGGCAATGACCTTTATACAAGAAGCAGAATGGGACTCCATGAATGTCATCCAACTGTACTAATAGAAGGTTTTTTATCAGTATGTCCAGCCTTGTGAGCTGCTGAATATGCAGAAAGGATGCACATTAAAATACAAGATACAAGATGGGTGACTCAGTCTGAATGTGAAGAGGTCTTCCCTCACTGCACATTTGTCCTGACCTCTGTCTGGATCATGTTGATGCGTCGCGAGCAGAGGGTTTTCACACAGTTGTAGATATCCACCACACCTTCACACTCGGCCATGTCCAACATGACATCCAGCACAATGTAACAGCCGGTGCGTCCTGCCCCCGCGCTGAAAGACAAAGGCCAGCGTTAGCTGAGAAATCCTCGCAGCCTACTGCGTTAATAACTAGTTCAAGTTTAGAAAAAAAGCTACTGAATTTCTCTCAGATACTGCTGGACTTCTAGAAATAAAAAAAATAATTGACTTTTTCAGTCAGAAATATCCTTTCAGGAGTGATGATGAAAAAGTAATAAATGCATATGTTACTTCAGGACTGGACTTTACAATGAGGGAGCCACAAACTGCAGTTTAACGTTTTCTACTGACCCAAAACGCTGCAGTAAGAGTTCTGATTAAATTTAATTTAATCAAAAATTAGGTTTTTTAGTCCTAATTTACCTTCCCTTCATTTCACTTTAACTTAGAAAGTACTCCTACATCAGATGTTCTTTTCTTTCTTGTGTATCTGCTTTGTCTTCTCAAACCTCCTGTCAGTCAAGAAAAGATGGCCACTTGTACTGAGTTCTTCAGGAGTTTTTTCCTGCTAAAGGGGATATTTTCCTCTCCACTGTCACTACATGCATGCTCAGAAATAACTAGAAATTGTTTAGTAAAAGGGATTGCTGTAAAATCGGCATAATCCAAGCGACTCTCCACTGTTGCTATGAGGTGAATAAATGCTGGAAGTCAGTGACTCCTTCAGGTAGTTTAGAAGCTAAAACAGTAAGCTGTATTTTCATTATTTCTGGAAATAACTAATTCTATTTTCCACTCCAAACAAATCTAAGCTAACTGCATTGTTGCATCCTTATATAAATACCCACCAAATGAACAGCAGAAAGGTTTTATTTTCTTTCATGTGAAAAATATCGTCATGAGGTCTGTATCATTTGAAGCATGCATATAAACAATATCCAAAGTATCTGCGTTCCAGCTTATGCATGTGTGGGAAAAATGGCTACAAAAGAGGAACTCATGTACTGAAGCACTGAAGGTTATTTACCAGGTAAAATGTTATTCTGCTGGGGCCGAATGATTGCATCGCATCTCGTAGCAATGTTGGCTATTTGCATGCTAAAGTACAGTAAATGCCCATCATACTGCTCAAGTGACTTTTGGTGCAAGAACATGCGTATAAAATCGACTGATTTGACTCTGTGGGTGTGCTGTGCTTAAAAGTAAATACATACAGAATATTATTTTTTCTCATCTTAGTCTGTTGGAACGTCTAGAGCCCCGATATGGATCTTTACAACTGTGGCTTCAAAAAGGAGAAATCAAAGGCTGCATTTTAGATTATGAAATAAAAATTAATAGGACCTAAAAATGGTAGTTGCATAATTTACCTGCACTCAAAGTTATTCACTAAAAATATTATTGTGTTCTTAATAAATATTTTTTTCATAAAATAAAATATATTTATGGAACCAAGGTCTTTGACTCTTTGATGAAATATTTCTGACTGGTTAGATGAGCCAGGTCAGTCTAAACAACCGCAGAGTTGTTAGCAGAGGGGGTGGATGAAAGTAGGTTATTTGTAAATTATAATCTGTCATGGACAGCACATCTCATCTGTTTTGCACGACACTCCTCAGCAGCACTTTAAGCGCAGCATGTCTGCACCCACAAAACAGGAATGAATACTAGTTCAGGTCCTTTTTTTAACTGCAGCCAGGCTCATTAGCAGCAGCAAAAATAGTTGTTTGTCCTTTTATGTACTCTCAACTGCTTCATTTGTTTCATTATATATTTTTTTGAAGCTGCAATATAATCTCTGAATCTGGAATTTTACTTATATATCAACAAATATTTTATTTTATTCACTTAATAGCATGTAAAGCTATTAAGTCACAAAAGAAAATGAGGATACCTGTAGACAAACTAGATATCAACCATTTGATGATGCAAATACTTTCAGACATTTCTCGCTTATTTTCCTGTTCTTCCAACCTCTGTGTCACAAGCAGCACCTAAAGTAATCAAGCATCTAAGGGTGATAAACAATCAGGCTATTATGATCTTGGACAGGAAGCCTTTCAGATCAATTCTATAAATATATTTATATCATATCCTGTTCAGAAACAGTATATGATGAAACCTGTTTCCAAATGTTTATAAGGTAAGACGACACAAGTGTTTATTGACCTTTGTTTCCACTCAGGGTTTCCGTTTCATTAAGACAGAGCATCTGGTGGGAATTGTAAAGTGACTTTATGTAACATTTTCAGTGACAGATAAAGTCTGAGGGTGGGGCAGCATGATATTGGAAAAAAAAATCTGATATGTCATAATGTCTGTGAATGCTGCGACAACAATATGACTTCTGACAAACAAACAAGTAAACATTATTAACGTCTTCATACTTTGAGTTCATGGCGAGTTTAAACCTTAAAAAATGAATTATCTATCCAGCTACTGGAAAATAAAATCACTATTTCCAGCTCATCCACACAAGCTGCTTAGGCACTGAAGAAATAGCTTCTTAATGATTTTACCACCTTACCCCCCTCTTCACCCTGTAAAAGATTTTTATGAGCTGCAATAAACAACTATTGTACCCAAATATATGCCAGACACAGAAAGAATGAATATCCTAAAGTAATTAGCTAACATTTATTGCACTTCAGGCAGTTTCTCTGCGTATTTATATTGGATACAATTATACTAACTCTAAAATTGTGATATATTGTCCTGCCTTGCACAAGACCACAAAACGTGGGATTCCTGAACCACAAACTCAAAATTAGATATCATCTTAAAGTTCAAGTAAGCAGAAATAGCATATCATTTAAATGATCACCTTTTATTCTGTAATTTGATGGAGTCATCTTTTACCATCAGTGATTGTGTTTTGAATTGTTGGATGCTTGTATGTGGTTTTGCTTATCTCAAACCAACCCAAACCATGAGAGCAGGCGTGAAAGAAAATGTTGAAGTGTGGATTGTTTGTGAAACTTGAATAGTATTAAACTGAAGAATTAAGTTAATTATCTGGGAGTGATGTGTGCATTTAAATGTACTGGGACGAGCACCGCCACCCTACCTGCAGTGGACCACCACGGGGCCAGCATCAGGAGGCGTGGAGGCTTTCACCCTGCGTATAAAAGCCAACAGTCCAGTGGCATGATAGGGCACGCCATGTTCAGGCCAGGATGTAAAGTGGAACTGACGGACCTCATGCTTGGTTGAGTATCCTCTCTGTCAACAGGAAAAGAGTAATGTTTATACGCACAGGCGCCTAAACAATGAGAAAAGTGAATAGCTACTTTCCCCCATTTTATGTCATCACTCCATTCAATCAAACAAATGTACAGATTTTACTAAGCTTTGTGGAAACTGTAAAAGGTATAAGAAAAGTATTGCTAAACTCCAGTCCTAACCTCATCAGATGATGGTTTACACTCTGACTCACTTGTAGTCTAGAAAATAAAATACAGTCATTGCAGTCAGACAGTATGCAGGGATAAAGAAGCAACAAGAATGAAACTTTTCTTTTTCTTTTACAGTTCCGTTTTTCTTACTGCCTTTAAACTAAATATGACGGTAAAGAATGGCAGGAAGAACATCAGTGTGCATTTCTTTCTAAACTTTGTCCTTGTTGCTTACATACTCATTGTCCAGCATCCCATTGATCATGCTCTGTGACTAAGATTGGTTTTAGTTTTATAAATAATTTCCGTCTAAGATAAACAATCATTTAAGTAAAACTGTAAAAAAAAAAAACAGGATAAAGGATAATTTCATATTAACACAACTCCTGTTTCCTAAATCTTGAGATTAAAGGAAATATTAATATTAACCTCATACAAACAGATTCCAGATGTTGAGGGACACTGACAAGGATGAAGCAGCACTACATGAAAGATAGTCTTCCTCGTAAAAGTGCAACTTTGATTCGATTTAATTAAATTGTGATACATTATTTAAGGAAATTGTAAAAAAAAACATGGCGCCCAGTATGAACGGCCATTAGAACATCTACCATCAAACAGGGAGTGGGAGGACACACTGCGTTGTGTTATTCATATCATTTCCATGCCTATTATGTGTCTTCCCCAGCTCTGCCACATGTTATAACATAGATAATAGACATGCTCCCATCGGTTTGGGAGCATATTCAAATAGAGCATTATTTCTCATTGATGGTTACACCTCAGCATCAAAGTTCACCTTACGAATGTTGAGGGTCGCTGCAGTTTTCTCCCGTCAGACGGCAATTTCGTCCTTTGTTCAGAGATGGCAAATTGAAACAAATGTTCTTTTCTCTTTTTTTTTGAAAACATAAACGGCAAAAAACTCTAAGAGCTTGAAAAAAAAAACACTGTCACCTGTTTCCAAATTCATCCTGATTTAAATAAGCACGCGTGTGTGCCCAAGTGAGAGCGAATGTGACGGTGTGATGATAATCCTGTTTTTGTGCCACAATCTTTCCAGCCTCACTCTGAGCCTTTCCAATGAGAGATCTCCCCTGGAGATTGACAGGATGGAGGCCGTCAGGGGCACCACACTGTAGCAGCGATGATGGAAACACGCCGGGGGTAGGCGCATAGCTGCTGGTGTTAATTCCTCTCAGATTAAAATGTGGACCTCACATCCATCAGCTCAAAGTCCTGTCAAGCATCTAATCCCTTCTATTCATGTTCTACCTTTAATTTTACTTTTCGCTCTGCTGGGTAACATAGGGAACTTGTTGTGGGTGCAGCTACTGTGAAATTCAATAAAGACCACGAGATTTTGACATAAAAAAAAACTGCAAGGGACGTTATGACAAAAACAAAACGACAGCGTTATGGGAAATCTAAGGTGGACATTAACTCACCCGCTCCAAGGCAAAGGTGCGAACTGTGTACTCAGCCAGAGTTTCTGTCTTCAGGAGAGTGATTTTGATGTCCCCATACATCTCGCTGTCATCAGGCCAGTATTTACAGCACTTCACCTGTTTAAAAACAAGCAACGCAACATTTCAGACCTTGAACCAAGTGTAAAATTAGAAATATGAATCCTTTTTTTAAAATATAGTTTGTCCTAAAATCTTTTAAAAAAAAAACAGTTTAAAATATCCTGACACTTTTGTGTTAGGATATTTATGGAAACAGAAAAATACACATATTTACTTAAAGTTACCAACAGTGTAGTGCTAAGGTTTGGTCTTACGAATGTATTTCAGGGTAGTTTTGACCAGAAATAACTAAATATGTATAAGCAGAAAACGCTCCTTACTGTGAGCAGCGAAATGCTGCATTACTTATTTGTCAGTATAAATTTTATCTTGCAAGGCAAAGAGAGAAAAAAAACAAAATAACAACATAATACCAGGAAACATAATGAAAAAAGTGCATCATTTTATGTTAACATCACCCAACACAATGGGGGTATTTTTTTTTTCGCATACAATGAAAATGGAGGTATTATTTGGATTCAGCCACACAGACCACTTGTCATTTATTGATTGTTTCTGGCAAGGTAAAGATGGAGAACCAAATTGCATGAAGGGTCCTGCTGGAAAAATGGTGTCGTTTTAACCATCTGCTGAGGTGATATGTTTCCTTTGCTCTTACTGATAAAGATGAGATACTTCAGGATGCATGTGAGGTGAAACATAATAGTTCTGCATCAATATGTTCTCTACATACAAGGACAGACACGCTGTCACACACATTTTAGACTTTGTAGAAAACTGCACAGAAACAGACATATCATTACAGATCAAATAAAAAACATCACTAATAAACAACAGACAAAAAAATAGCTTGACTATTTCTTACGGTTAACCTTATATTAAACTTTTAGGATATATTATGATTCATAAATGAACAGCATGTTTAACAGCTTGATCTACAGCTGAAAAAAGGAAGGCAAATTAGCATAATATATAACAGCTTTCAGCATTCTGCGAGGCATATGCCCATCAAAGACATAAAAGCTTCTTATTTAGACACCAAACAGTTCCCTTTTAATGGTTTCAGTACTTCTCTGAACAGTGACAGAAGGGGGATAAGAGGAGAGTGCATATAGCATACCCTGCCAACCTCCACCAGCTTAGTGATCATGACGATGCTGAAGCAGTTTTCCTGCCACACCATCCTCCAGAAATCGTACAGCGTCTCCTGCTTTGGTCCTAGTGGGAAGATGGAAGGAATAACAAAACAGACACAAAATAAGTTGATAATTGTTCCTCAGAGTGACCCAAGTGGCCTTTTCTGGATGACAGAGTTCTGCCTCTTAAAATTATGCCATAAATAATGTTTTTGGCCATTTCAAGCAGGCAGAAGGAAACAGGGCGATGGGTGAGTAAAGCAACAGCAGTGGTTGATGATGGAAGTTCGGCAGACCAAAAGTCATTCACTGTCATCAAAGGAGCAGACATTTAGAGAGCAATGCACAACATGGAGACTGGAAAAGAAACACTGAAAGAGACAAAAGCAAAGCCGAAATCGTTTCTTTCTCTTGCAAGTTTTATCTGCTTCTCTGAGTCTACCAGGAGGGGGTTGCTGGTGGAAGATAAGGAGATGAGCAGATCCTCCCAGACCTCTGAATGGGAGCTGCATCGAAAGCAACAATCCACAGGGTTCAAAACCAGCAGAGAAAAGTTTGTCAAAACTTTCCCACCAAATGACTCCCATATGGGGATAGTTCTATATTTGGATAGCAAATGTTACACTGGGAATTTGTTGCACAATAAGGAACATGTCACAGCTGAAATACAGGGTTTCAATAAAGCATTGATACTACTTCAGCTTTTTATTCAAATCATAATTAAGATCCAAAGCATAATTGTGAAGTCAAGGGAAGATAAACTATGCTTTCAAAATATCTTCCAAATAAAAAGTGTTGTGAAGTGTTATGTCGGCAGGTTTCTGCGCCTCGACTATGAATATCTGAAGGTCTTCCAGAGTAAACACGGCTGTCTCGGCTACTTCCCCGATTCCGTCTCTGCCTGCCTTACTAGTTAAAGTTACTAGTTAAAGTTAATGGTCACATCATGCAAAATTAGCAGCTGAGCCATTCTTTTTCCATTCTTAGATAATGGATTGAACAGAGCTATGAGAGATTATCAAAGTTTGGAGAGTTGTTTCAAAATCTAACCTTATTTAAAACGTCTTGGCCTTCATGATCATTTTTGTTCTTTAATGTTTTTCAAACAAATCTCTGCAGCTGGATTTATACTAATATTAAATTAGACACAGTTGAATTTTCAAAAATAATTAAATGACTTCCATTATTTGCACCGGATTTTATTTAAGTGTACAAAACTAAAGAGATTTGGACAGAAATTATCACTCATTTAATTTGTGAAAACGCTGCAGAATTTTCCATCCATTTCATAACTATGGAGCGATTTAAGCTGGTTTTTCACATAACCTTCCAATAAAATTCACATTTTTAATTGTAACGTTACAACTTGTCTTCTGCAGGGAGGCTAAAATCTAAGGACGTGGAAAAGCATCTAATCTAGTTTGTCTTTACATTTTGTCTTTATTGGGTTTTTTCAGCGGCAATTGTGTGGATGAAATGAATCCTGGGGTAGAATATAATCAAACTGCTAAACCACAATAATGATTAAAAAAAAAAACTATTCACCATTACTGAATCCACACACGCATACAGCCAGAGAAATATATACTCTAGCCTTGTGGGAATACTCACCCTGAGTGGCGATGAAGTGGTTGGATCGATGGTAGCCCTGAAAGAGAGAAGAGAGATGACATGCTGAGTAAGCCATCTGAGCCTCAGGCACAGCTGTAAGGGTGGGGGTATGTGTCTGTCTTTCCCCTTTTCTTCCTGCCCTTCTTCCCTCTTCTCCCCTCCTTTGAAAATGACCCCTTCTGCAACAAGCTTGCTTTGTAATTATCTCCCATTTCTACTGATGAATCCAGATGCTGTATTCATCAGTACACAAATTGTTTGAAGTTTGAGGATCTTAAAAAAGTAGGAGTCCTGGGACATCTTAGAAAAAAAGAGAGGTAAGTGAATGACTGAATCCCTGCGGCTATTCACTGGATACATAAAACCAGGACTTCAAACTTTTTTTCAGTTTAGATGCCTAATTTACCAAAGAATGTCCTTCATGACACAGTATGCTACAAAGAGGAGGAGAGAAAAAAATTACATGAAGGTTCACTGTGTTTTTTATCTGAGCTGCTGAATATACCAATAGCAAATTATATACAAATAAATTCCCCCAATGTGACACGACAATATAGTGCGACAGTAAAATAATAGCAACTAGAACCTTCTTCAAAAGTGAAATTAATCATAAGCCTCGAAACAGTCTGAAAAGCTTTATATGAAAAGAAGCAACACCCTTTGATATAGATAATAGATGTTTTCACACAGCGTACATGGAATGAATATGAATGAACAATGACTTGTCACCTCTACAGCCTTGAGCCAAACAAACATGACAAAGACCACATGAATTATAAACACTTGGGGGGAGCGCAAACTTTTCAAAGAAATTCCTGTTGAAAATAAAAATGTACAGGTAAGCTAACCTCTGCAATTCTATGAAAATGTCATCAAGAAAACCACTTTGATGCTGTGGTTGATTAAGAGGAGCAGCTGAAGGGATAATTGATGCTGCAATTACACGACTATCATGAGTCTGCGGAGTGAAGAGGGCGGGTCAAAAATAATCGGCATGAACTCCAGCTCGAGCCCACCAGCTCTCATCAAGTCTGGCTCATGCAGCAGTCCATGCAGATAACGCTTTTTAAAAAAAAGAAAATATCTTTTTGCAGAGGGCATTCTCCTAAAATATCAAGTCTGTCCATGTTGCTGATGTATTGCGGCTCCGAATCGCATCTGGGTGTTTAAACTGAGGGAAATGTTTAAAATGGAGATGGATGACTGTTGCTGCAAGGCCCGCTATCCACAATTCCTCAGGCTCTGGCCAAACTTGATCATCGGGAATACAACCGCTCCTCTTCTTCAGACAGTTGCCATAGTAACTAAACTTCCTGATTCTTGCCCACTTAAAAAAAAAAAAAAAAAAAAAACTAACAAAGACAGCAGGGTCCTCTATCCAGAGAGGACACATCTCCTTGTGTTCATTTTAAATCCTTAACTAAAAAGGTTTTTTTTTTTTGGTTTGTTTTTGATCAAATGTGCACCTGAAACACTCCGACCTTCGAGCACTTGTGGATAGAGGACAGCTGAAAGCGAGCAGAGAGGGGACAGGAGAAATAAAGCGATGGGAGGCAGAAGTATGAGCAGTGAAGTACTTACTTCCCTGTTAATCCGAATCTACAGGGTCCGAGGTCGAGGAGGTGGGATGGGGAGTAGAAAAAGAAGACACACAGGCTAGTTAATGAAAGAAGCTTAGGAGTTACAGACGTGGGAGGTCTGTGAGTATGCAGAGATGTTTGAGCAAAAAGCAGGACTAAATTTTACGTTAACACACATACATAGTGTTAATTAACGAAGTTAAATTATGGGGGTTTAATGACGTTTACTTTAATAGGTGCTAATTTAAGGTAAGATTTGCTAAATTTATGCATTTTTTGTCTGTTTTTGCTATTAAATGACATCAAGAATTCTTCCTGAATTGTGTTTCTCACTTACAAATGGAACATTATTTTAACACGATGGCAAAAAATTTTGCATTTCATTCAAGTCGTATGGCAGCCAAACAACCAAAAGCACCATACTAATGGTTCTAAGAAAAAAAATTTAATTGTTAAAAATCAGTCCAATCGATTGCAATCAGATTCAGACTTCTAGATGGACCAACAAGTCAGTGGGCGACTGAAAGCCAGATTTTCAGACTGTTTGGAAAATCAAATCAATCAAAATCAATCAATCTTGACTATCTTTCAAAATAAGATCAGGGAAAATAGTTAAGAGGCATTTCAATAGATATCTCAATTCTAAGATTTTATTTGCATGAACATTCTAGTTTTCGAAACTCATCTTGCCAATTCTTAGCTTAATAATATGTTAATAATAAGGAAGGAAAGAATAAGGACAGAAAGAAGGAAATAAAGAAAGGAAGATAAAAGGAAGAAAAAATGAACAAAGGAAGGAACAAATGAAGGAAGGAGAGTAGGAAGGACAGAAAAAAGGAAGGAAGGAAAGAACAAGTATACTTGTAAGCAGGAAGAGACACATTCAGTGGACAACAGGAAGACTTAATGTATTACAAACATTTATTCTTGTTTATCCTTTGGATCTATCGGCTTCTGGCATAGAAAATGCTGGATTTATAAATGTTGAAAACTTGTTGGAAATCCAATAGTTGAAGGAAATACTGATGAGGGCAACAATCACTGTGATTAGTGTGTTTAGTTTTTTTTTAAATAATACTAATACCTCGTCTTAGTTTCAGGGTTATCATTGCATTTAGTGATTTTTTTTCTCGTAATATAAATAAAAATGGGCGATAGAGACAGAAATGAGAAAATGTTAAATGTTGGTAAATATGACTCAGAGTGAAATTTAAAAAAAAAATGTTATGAGGAGATCAGAGCTTTACAAACCAAGTATCAAAAATCAACAACAAAACCAAATGCAGTCCCATGCCATCAGACCGATTCTGAAACAACACATTTAAACTAAATATCATAATTACAATCAGTAAGTGAATAATGAAAAAAATACCAGTCAGTAAAACAGCTAATTAAGGAAGCACATGGAATAAAACCTTGATTTAGTCTCATTCTGAGCAGGTAAACTGGTTTCTGGTAGATAGCAATCAAATTGTTCTTTCGGCATACGGTCATTTTAATGAGGTACCCAGAGGAAGTACTGAAGTGAGTTTTATCCATCTTGTCGAAGCATGGAGCAGTTTTCCTTTAACTTCACCATAAAAACAGATAATGTGGTAAAAGCTGTACAAGAACAATATCAAGATAACAATGCTGTAAGATCTAGGCGGTCATGACATTTTCACACAGTATGACTGTCAATAATTTGGGCTGCAAAGATTTTTGAACCTATAAATAACATAGTACTGAATACAAGGAATAACAATGCCACTGTCAACACTTAGCACTTGATGATGCCTTTCAAGTTCAAGTTTCAGGTCTTATTGTTAGAAGGCAGCAGGATGCAACACTGCTATGACACAACCTTTCTCCATATGTGTTCGTTTTCAGGAGCTTCCCACTGCAGCTGATTAAAACTGGACATTTTAAAAGAAAGAGAAACTGGGGTCAAAATTAGATATCACCCCTAAGCTCAGACATAGCAGTAGTATTTCCTGAAATGATGAAAAATGGTTGAATAAGAATAATTATTTGAGCTCACCCTCTCATTTTGACAACCACTGCAGAAGCACGTCACCTAAAACATGGACAACTATCAGATCTTTACAGGTACTGAAAATGCACACCTTGCAGATTTACTATGCTTTTGGCTTCATTGGCATGTTTAAATGTTTCAGTTTATGAATGCATCTAAACATAGGTCAAAGACAACATGGTTATTTACAAAAAACACCTTTTAATCTGTTAAAGTAGAGAAGCTTTTCTGACCAACCTGACCTTAGTGAGTCATTTAAATTGCCCTCTGAAAGCTGCATTTCTATCAAATTTAAGTGTATTCTTTCACTAGGCTTCTTCATGGATAGCCAGATGTTTGTCTTCAAGATTTCTGAAGAAGAGAATAATTTCTCGTCAGCAAAAGTTTTGGACAAAGCAAGTTGTCAAAGTTCTGAAGTAGCAAACACACCACCACCTCTATTCAACTGAAGGTATAAGCCCTTTTTCTGAAATGCTGTCTTAGTTTCATGCCGGCTGCAAGAAGACGCACAACTTCTGAGAAGTTCCCCTTTTGTCCGGCTGGTCTACAAAATATTTACATAAAATCTAGGGAAACTTTAAGATGCTAAATATGAGAACGACATTTGTATTGTTTTGGACAAACTTTAGAAAGCCTGTTACTGGAAAAATTTGCTACTGTTCCATGTTTTCTTTTTTGTGGATGTTGTCTAGCTTTGCCAATTTTCTCTCATTAAATTGCTTTAGATTGGGGAATGCCATGTTGCTTTTTTTATCTATTTTATGCTGTTTTACTGGTTTTAACAACTTGATTTCTTAAATAGGAACCTCCCTGAGTGTGGAGGTCAAATTCACCTCAAAATTTGATTAATCACTAATTGATGCTTAACGACAGGAATAATTATATTTTCTCACATAAACAAATTGGCTTGGATGGAATTTTCTGAAATAATAGAATTTTTTGAAAACCATTTTTTTTTTTTCATTTATTTGTTCATCATTTCTTTGTCTAAAACCTGTTGGAGGATACTGAACATTTAAGTGACACAAAAAACAACAAAGAAGTTGGAAGAAATAAACTTCTTAGGTAACGTGAGAAGCTAACTCCACAGAATAAATAAATAATCATTTCAGCTAAAAAACTTCAACCAATGATTTAACCATCATTTTACTCTGCAACATTTGTATTTTTACTATAAACTCGAATGATCCAATATTTCAAATTAAAATCATCATTGCATCAGTGCAATATTGCAATTCTAACCTACTGCTTTAATATCTAGTAGGATATCACATATCTGTTGCTGTGCATGTAAATTCTGCATGTGTCGTCGATGGATGTGGGCATCATGGTGAAGCTCAGAAACAGTGGTGCAGAATTTATGATCAAAAAAGACAGGAAATTGCTGGTTATTCATAATCAATATCTGCACCACAATAATTAGTAATCATATTTTAATAGCATGAATCCAGATATTGTGAAGCCCTGTACTAAGCTGTGTAGACACGATTATAGAGCTTAAATGAATTTTAATCACGTAGGCTGATCGTGGTTAGAAACCAGTGTCTTGCAGCAACAATCAATAACTTCAGATTTTTTCACAGCAAGTAAATTCCTCCAAACTCAGAAAGCACCTGTAACATTGACAGATGTTTAATACAAAAAGTCGGGTGCACAAGAGTCAGAACTTCAACTTTCTTTAAATCTACTAACAGCAGGTTAGTAGAGTTTGTGTTTATTTCTCCCTTCAAAATATAAATACGGTAACATATTCTTAGTAAGCAAGATGTTTTAACAAAGATGACTGAAATACAATGCTCAGGAAATTTAACCAATCAGATCTGCTAAGGTACCATACCTCTATAATAGTTAATTTTAGTTGTATATATTATTATTACTATTGTGTGTTTGTTTATTTAATATTGTATAAATTTGACTTTTTGCACGGGAGTTGCAATAGAAATTTCATTGAATCCTGTTCAATGACAATAAAAAAATGCTATTCTACTGCTATGCTATGCTATGCTATTCTACTGGAAATAGAGTGGACCAAGAGTGAAAGCTGTCAGGTGCAGGGAAAGATTCCTGCACCTGAACTGTGCCTAAAGCAAACAATCAAACCTTACAATAAGAAAACATTGAGCTCGCACATTCCCCACTAGGTTCAGAAAGCACAAATGTCTTTCAGAAGAAATAAGAACTTTTCCATTTAACCTTCACTGAAATAATCAAAAGGTGTTCCTCTCTGGCTAAGGAGATAATTCAGAGAGCTGGGACAGGGCAGTCGGAGAGTACCATGTCTGATGCTGAGACTGTAGTGGCTGCAGAGTGGTGTTTTTCTGCTAATGCCTGCACCTCTGCTCCCTAAACACTAATGGAAACCCTTACAATAACTACAGCTGAAGCCAAGTTTTTAGCACCCTCTCATTGTGACAACCACTGCAGAAGCACGTCAGAGCTGACCTTTCTGGACAGTCAAATAACAAAGAGGAAATGCATGTTAAAACCAGTGTCAGGCAGTTTGATGATACAACTGGGCTGAAAAGGAGGACCCCAAAAATCAGATAATCAAATTCAGATGTGAAGCCTGCCATTTTGTTTTTATGAATGGCATTTTTCAAATAAATATCAGTTACAATCACTCCTGACAGAAATGGGATCTGCTAACCTTGTATCATCTGTAAACAGAGGCCTGCCTCAAGAGTGTCATATTTACTTTGCAGAATTCCCCATGAGAAGCGTTGAGAATAAATCTTGAGAGATAAAGAAACCACATCAGATTTCCTGGCTTCAAAGGACAAAACTGAAATAAATGGCAACAACTGTGGATTATGATGAATATTTCACAAACTACAGAGTTCTACTTGCAGCAGCATATCTTTTATTTTCTGCATTCCTGATGAAATGTTCAATTAATGACAGATGGGTTCTCCAAGATGTACCTTAAACTTTTTATGAATGAGAACACACACGAATAACATTAGCAAGACATGTATTTTACTCTGATTTTCCACATAAGACAGTTAAAAGGATCATCTCTTACTCCCTCAAACAGTGATTGAAAAACATCAGTGACGTCGATGTAATTTGAGAGATTTACACTGTGGGGTTTTACAGAGAGGCTCATCTCCTCTGCAGGAATTAAATGCATTGGTTCCTCTTGGTTTTAATAAAAACGATAGCAGAGGTGGCAAAGGTCAGGGATCTGCAGCAGCACCTGACAATGATGGCATCTGGCTCAACACTGTGGGGGCCGGTGTCGGATTGGATAGACTCTCTAAGGTGGAAGCGGGGCAGCAGAGTGGTGGCTTATGAGAGAGAGATGGACCACAATTTTTGCAGGATATGAGAGTGGAGGCTGAATAAATCTGAATGTCATACAGCGGGACAACAGGATTACACTTACATCAATGTAGTTAGCGTTGATGTAGTCCGAGTTTGGATCTCCCAGGAGAGGGTGGAGCTTCACTCTGTGCCGATCGTCTGGGTATACAGAGCAACAGAGATATTTTAAAAAGAAAGAAGTCGCAACAATTTCTGTTTTTCTACTAAAATGTTTGCAATCACTTACATCCCAGCAAGGTGTCATGCCTCCCTTTGGTTTTGTCCTTCTTTTTGGTACAGTCCCAGCCATCAAAGAAGCTCTGCATAGATAAAGACAAAACCTGTCAAGATTTGTTAGAGAATATCAGTGAAAAACATAGAACAAAGAACAACGAAGGCCGTTCTACCTCAAAATAATATTCTATTTAATGTATCACACAAACCTGATGAAACACACTAAAGCTGTGGTTAAAAGTTCACAAAAAATGAAAAATTTCAAGAGACACTTTTGTAACAAAGATATTGGTAAATAGAACCACAGTTTTAGGACACTGGTTTTATGCAAAATAAAGGATTCATAAAAACTTGTCAAAAGGGCCAGGAGTGTTAAATTGGATTTAAATGATAATTTTAGCTTCATAAGTGGCGATGGTACTTTCCATATTTTTCAAACAGTCACAGCAGATGTTCTCTGCTCTTTTTGCTCCCTTAATAAAATGACATGTTACATCCAATGGACACCTAATTAGCCATCCATGCTGCAGGTGACATAACACAACACCCAGTGGAAAGGTTCTGGTGTGGATTGCTTCCTGTGGGTGTTTAAAAAAAAGAGCAGATGACTCAGGTTCAGAAAAAGGCTTTATTCTACCAATATCAATCATACACCTATGTAGATATTTTAAAACTTTGATTATTTTTTCAGATTTTCCTTCTAGAGAACAAGGATATCCTGGGATATTTTAAATAGGAATGTTGATCAAAGTCCAACAAGATTTCTAAAGGGTTTTCAAAGTGTTTCTTTAGACACTTTAAGTCCTGTTTGTCTCATTTTCTGTCAACACCTTAAGAAATGAGGAAACATTGGGAATCTAACAATATTAAAGCCCAAAGAAGAAATATCAGGCTTTATAAACCTACCTACAGTAGGGAAAATTTTTAAAAAATAAAATGTAAAAACTATTATGCATTTTACTGCTGAGAGAAGAATTTTTTTCAGCTTTGCTTCTACTGTAACCTAAGGGTTATCTGTAGATGGTTTAGATAATAAGCTTATAAATAGACAAATGTAAACACCCCAATTAAGTCAAGAAAAAGGAACAGATGCAATATCATCAGAGGAAAAGATAATTAGTTTTCATTTTACTATCCAGTACACCAAAGATGTGCAAAATAGACCAATTGCACACACAAAGTTTGGATGCTGAGTTTTTAAAAATATATGTAAAAAAAAATTTAAAAACTCTAAAAATCAGACAACTTATTAGAAATGAGTTGTATGAATGCTTTGGTGATTTGTGTTACGTAGAGACAAGCTTTGTCACTTCTAAGACAATAGTACGTACCGCACAGAAAGTGAGACAAAAATCAGACAATCTCTGAAGAAAAAAGTTGATAAAATTAGAAAATATTGTTTAAAGACACTTTCAAGGGTTGAAAGAAAGCCTGACTGGTTAGAAGCAAAATTTAAGGGAATGAAAAATGATTGAAGACTTTCAGTGCATCCCGAAAGTATTCAAAGAGCTTCGGGGTATTCAACATGCAAATATTATGACAATGTGGAAAAAAGTTTTTTCAAAATTCATTAAAAATAAAAAAAAATCACATATACACTAGTGTTCACAGCCTTTGTTATGAAGCACTGAGAGGTTCCCACTCATCATCCCCGAGATGTTGCGACAACTTAAATTGAGGATTTGATTTAAGGAGACACACTTGTTTATTTTAGGTCCCACAGTTGACAGTGCAGGTCAGAGGTCAAACATCAAACATGACATCAAAGGGATTGTCTGCAGACCTTGAAAACAAGATTGGCTTGAGGCACAAATCTTGGGAAGGATCCAAAAATATTTCTGCAGCTTTGAAGGTCCCAATGAGCTCAGCAGCCTCCATCGTCCGTAAATGAAAATCAGCAGGATTTTTCAAAGTTGGCCGGATTTAAGCTGAATACAATTGGCAAAGAAGGACCTTGGTCACCAACAGGTGACCAATAACCTGATGGTCATTCTGTAAAAAAAAATGCTTCAGCGTTCCTCTATGGAGAACGAAGATTCTTCTAGAAGGACAGCAATCTCTGCAGCAATCCACCAATGTGTATGGTAGAATCGCCAGATAAAAGCCACTCCTCAACACAACACACATGGCAGCCTGTCTAGAGTTCATTTGTCAGAAGAACAACAACCCAAAAACACATGGCCAACATCTCTATGGCTCACTATGTGAAAGTCCTGGAGGGGCTGAGACGCTATTCAATCTGATGGATCTTGACAAGAATGGCAAAGAATGAATGAACTTACCTAGTGATAGATAAGCAAAGATCATGGCATTATATTTAAAAAGACTTCAGGCTGTTACCAAAGGTTTATCAACAAAGTATTAAAGCAAAGGCTGTGAAAAAATTTTTCTATTATCAAGGAAAAAATTTTCCTGCATTGTCCTAATAGGGTATTTGCGTGTGAAATTTTGAGGGAAAAGTTCAACTTAATACAATTTGGAATGAGGCTGGAACATAAGAAAATGTGGAAAAAGTGAAGAGCTGTGAATACTTTCCAGATGCACTGTATATCCATCCATATGGGTCCAGTCCCGGTAGTTTTCTGAGACTATAGAGACATTTTTTACAAATTCTTCCCAAGTCTGAATGGGGAGCAGGGGATTACAATGCAGTTCTCCTCACAGACAGCCAAGAACCATCCAAATCCAACCTGGGATTACATCCTCCTCCTCACTTTCTCCCTCCTCTTTCATGCCCTGCCTCTTCAGATGTTTCTTTCTGAATCTCAAAATTTATGTTCCCTCCCTTTTACTTCATGGCTTCCTTCCTTGTCCACCTCTCTCCTCTTGGCTTGCTTTTATTTTTGACAGAACATCTCTAAGCCCTCTTTTTCTCTCTTCCCACCTCTCCGACGCTCAGTTCCCAAGAGATGACAGAGAAATAGAGGAGGGTGGAAAATAGTGGAAAAACAGCAAAGGAATGACAGGCCTTTAAAAGCCAGAAAAAGAACACCAGAGGGGAGTTGATTAGATGACTTTACTGCAGAAATCAGAAATATAGTATGGTTGTGATCACACAAATGATTCCGACTCTGCTCTGGATAATGACTGGTTTCTTTTAATTGAAACATGTTGAGAAATTTTTCAACTCCTGATTCGATCCCAAAAAAAGTCACATTTTAGGTAGTAATAAAAAATAAATGTGTCATGAGCTCTTGCTGTTATATTAAATAAGCACAGTTTTCAAGAAGTCACTGATATAACTATGCTGTGAATTGGATTTTAAATGAATCAATCAGTTACCCAAACCAAAAGCGTTATATTGGTACTCGGGGTTCTGCTCGGCTGTTGTTTAGCTGAGGTTCCGGTGGGAATATGAAAGCAGTCGTCACACATGCAATCCGCTTTACTAGCCCACAGTAAAATCTTGATCAATGTTTTTGCAGAAAGCAGGTATTCCTCAGGGAAATAAAAACCTACGCCTGCAGTGTGAGTCTAATATAATAGTCCTCATCATTTTCCTTCATAATAGCGAGACACAATCCATCAAAACACACACTCTTAGCACAGAGAGGGTAAAAAATACAAAAGAGGTGTGTATTGATTTTTAGAGTGGAGTGTGTTTTGGCCATGAGGGACCATTTAATGAGTCTACAAGCAGAGTTCCAGAGGGGGACACCATGTATTGGAGACAAAATATGTTTTCTTGTCTCTATGAATGCCACAGGCAGTGGGTGACAGAGATGGACTTCTCCCTGGGGTGCAAGCTAAACTCTCAGCCACAATTGTTTTCAGAGATCTGGGTTCACCATTGTGCTGCCTGGGTAATCCAGCTAGACGCCATTGCTGCTGTGAGGGGATGAATGAGCTTTGTTCAATGACAAACTTTTTTATGTACTGATGGATCGATCAAGGTTTAAATACCAACGGGGCACCGGGTGCAATAAGTCTTTCAAAAATCTTAAAAGTTTTATGACAAAAAAAGTGGTCGAACAGGCAGAAGGTTTAGCACTCTAAGTTTTGATTTAGATGCTAGATGATAACTGCTTTTGATTTTCAAAAGCAGTAAACTTGGGTAACAGATGTTGTTTCTGCCATGAAAAGGTCACAAAATGACACCATTCCAAGATTTGTAATTTTCATTACTATAGTTTGTTCTATTAAATAAACCTAACTTATTGTAGAAACATCCCAGCCCTATAATAAATGTGTCACATCACAAATGAATGCATGAGAACTGTTCAACATCTGTTTTATTTCCAATACAAGAGCTGCGTACACTATATAAGCTGATCAGAACTCTGTGGATGATGCTGGTATTAATTTCATACACAAATAATCACATTTATGCCCTCAAATCACATTTTTATAGTAATTTTGGAAATAATTTTTGCTAGGTAAAGATAGTTTTTGCAAAAATCCAAAGATATATTTTTGTGATTTCCAAATGTGTCTGAAAAGAAGTTCATTTTTACATCAAAAGCTAAGAGGAAAATTATGTAATTTAGCTTTCTATTACGTTTCTATACATGGTTTACTTTGGTCAGGGAGGAGAATGTGATTCATATTAGTTTTCCTGTGATTGATATAAGTCTCCCATGCAATTATTCCTTAAAGCTAGTCATTATTATTATCAAAACAGTCTTAGACTTAACTTTGTAAGTTCATAAGAAAGAAAACTTATAAATCGTAAAGGACTAATCATAAAGAAAACTACTGAACTTCGAGGAACCTACTTATAAACCCTAATATGATTCATCTTTCCACTTCTCACCATTGCAGTATTTTTCACATTAAAACATCTTGAGACTGCAAAGAGCTTAAAGAAATGTCAGCAGGTCCCACCAAGTGACCCCCAAATGTCAATCCAATAGAGTACATGTTCTATATTCTTATCACCTAAAAGATCAAATGAGCACCGTTGAGCTATGCTTGGGAACAACAGTGAGATTAATACTGTGTGTTCCTTCTGGAAAAAATTCCTTAATGACCCTATTGCACTTCCATTGCACCACGTCTTACAAAGAGAGGTAAATACCAACATTGCTGCTGGGAAGGAAGACATCTCTTAATGCATTAGAGGTAAAAAAGATTGAAAAAGGTTTTTTTTCCTTTTATTTTTTTTCCACAGTTTTCATCATGCTTCACCTTCCCAGACTGTCCCTGCCTCTCTTTAGAACAATCTGTCTGCAGTAGACAGAGTCGACTCAGTAGGAGGAGGCAGAGACGTTTAACCTCATCAGGCCTCCCATCACAATAGAGGTCTTCTTTTGGTCTAAATGAGGATGATCTATTCATCTGAACAGCAGTGGTGTCCTTCAGATGCCTTTTTAGCTCTGGTGATTAATTTCAGTGGCTTCAGATAATGTTTACTCTTCAGCCAGCGGTACTTGCGTCTATAAAATCTTCACTAGATCATCTTTATTTTTTTAATTTTGCATCTTTCTCATGCAATATTCTTGGAACTAGTTCACTACCGCAAAATAGAGAACCTGTATTTAATGGTAAAGACAACCCTTTGATTACGCGTTTAGAGCTAACAGCATTCCGGATCAAAGTCAAACATATCTCCTGAAAGCTTCTTGGGGCTGAACTAAGAAATGTTCAGGATGCAATAGTTTCCTGTTATCAAAGACGCACCTGAAAACTGTTCAGAAAACAAGGAAAAACTGGTGTTGCTTGAAATCTGAGATGACAAAGGAAATGGGTCATTTTCCAATGATATACAAGGTGTGTAACTACCTACAGCAACTGACATACATCAAGACTGTATCTAAAAGGAGAGCAGATCTTGTTTAGGAATGATTTGTCAATTAAACATGGAGTGCTAAAACAGCACTAGATGAGTGGTGCCACAGCTACCCAACAGGAAAGCGTAGAGGTCTTTACTGTACTAATCCTACTCCAAGGCTTAGCTTAGAGTCATTGATCTAAAAGGTTTTTGAAAACGGCTTTGTGCCAAAATTGATTATTTTATGCATTTTGCACCAGATGCGATCATTTCAGATGGTCAGGTCCAGTTTTTGCACCTATTGCATAAGACAGAAAAGCTGTAAGGTCAGCCGCTTTTCTTCTTTACGATCTCGTTCAGTTTACTGTATTATGGTTTTGGATTTGTAAACTAGTTCTTGTGTCTAAAACAGGACTTTAAAATCACCCAGAACATCTGATATCTTCTATGGTGCTTCATGAACACATTGTGCTCCCCAGTGCATGTGACAGACTTGTGATGGTTGTCATAGCACTTTGGCATCCTGGGCGCAGCATAGAAAAGAACTAGTAGTTTATTCATGCTGTGTCAGCCCAAAGACCTGCACATCATGGCCTCATATTTCTGAAGTATGAACTCTTTGTTTGAAATCTTTGAAATGAATTGAAATTCAGAAAATTTCCATGGCATTTTACCTGCCATGGTGAGAGTGTAGTGGGCTGGGCAAGAAAGCTCAGGAAACATGTGCAGAGTAGTAAGGAAGTAAAATCAGCATGCTTAAAGAATTAAGCTAACAGTTTATGTAAATTTGCACTGCTTGTTTGTTTGGATATAACAAAAGTAATATCAATAAAACTGAAACATCAGAAAACACATCTATGATTTTAGATACAGACACTGGCACTGCTTCTCTGACACACTAAAAACTAAACCTGAGAAATGTTAGGACTAAGAGAGAAAAGTAGCAAATGGACTCCTAAAACTGTGAAATTTCTATCCATGCTTCATCCATTTTCTGTAACTGCTTCTAGGCTGGTTGCAAGGGAGCTGGAGTGTTCCCCAGCAGATGTTACACTGGACAGGCTACAAAAGCAAACACACATACATCCTCTATTTTATCAACATCTTAGATTTTATGTTTCTGTGTTGGTGTACCTGCTACTCTCTGGTTGGTGTTTTTATCTTTGGTTTTATTTCACAGCACTCCTGTCAGCTTTGCTGTTGTTTTTAAAGTGCTGTGGCATTTCAGATTTTCCATAACAGTCATGAGCAATGCACCAGCAGCAGTACATTACAGTTCCTCTTCTGTCACACACACTGGAGGGAGTCTGGCAGTCACTATACGGTATATCACAAGCACATTTGGCATGCAGGCCAGAGACTTAAGGCATTAACCTCTAACCTTCCTGTGACTGGAAGACTTGCTATACCTCCTGGGTCTCAGACAAAGAGCTGTATAAGTTGTTTTATAATGTCAGTGGGAGAACAGACTGTAACAGTGGCCCTTTCACCTCATATTCCTGTTTAAAGCCGTAGCCCTCGGCAGTCTTCATCTGGTTGATGTGCTGGAGGAGGTCGGCCACCCGTACTGCAGGATGGAGCTGTCCCGTGTGGTAGGGGGAGCCTTTACGTCCACACTGGTGCCTCGGGGAGCCCCCTAGCAGGCTGCTGGCCTCGTTCACCGAACTGCGAGCATCACCTAAAAAAAAGGGAATAAAAAGGCAAAATGGCAGCTTTGGCAAGAATCTAAAATTCACAGAACAGGAGGGTTCCTGTAAAATATTTACCTACTCTTAATTCGGACTGATTCACTAGCGAGAGGTCTAAAGTATCCCTTTTATCATTACCTTAAAAATCCTGGCAGCCCAAAAACTAAAATCACCAAATATGTTGTGAATTTTTTTTGACCAACTCAAAAAATAAACTAAGTAAAAACAATTATTTTTAACAAAGAAGCAAATTTTTATTATTTTTATTATTTTTTTATTTTATTTTAGGAATTGGATCACAGAGCCAAAACTTCAAATGATTTATGCATGTTTTCCCTTGTGAGACGAAAGGCTTCCAGTTTGCTTCATATTCTGGGGTGAATTGGAAAAAAAAAAGAGCTCAGTCTCAACAACAAAAACTGGATCTAGGGTAGTCTGCATTTAAAAACTTTCGCTGTATTTAATGTTTTAAGGCAGCATGTGCGAACCAAAGTGTAGCTATCTTACTTCTCGTTCCGCATGTATGTGCGTCCATGAAGGACAGAGCCATTCTTTCATCCTCCTGCAGGGTGCTCTGGTCTGTGAAACTGCGCTCCAAGGAGCTCATGTGGCTCTTCTCCTGCCGGTACGTAATAGGAGTCTTGTTTACAGGTTTCCTGATAACAAAAGAAGGTGGGGAGGAAAGTTATTGTACAAAATACACCAGATATGAACAACAGGACAAAACACAGAACAAAGGAAACTTATTTTGTAAGAAACGACCTTGGAGTTACAGCATGAAGATACAAGCTGAAAAAGTAGCAGGATAACCGATAAATTAAATAGTATGGAAAAGTATGGACTACTTTACATTTGGTCACATTAAAACCACAAACCTTAATGTACCTTTTTTGTCATTTATGTGACAGAGCAAAACAGAGTGGTGCCTCAATGTAAAGTGGAAGGAAAATGATACATGGCTTGTATTTGTATTTAGCTCTCTTTAGTCAAGTCTCTGTGAAACCTACAATAATTTGGGGTATGTCTGTTTTTTTGTTGATTCCTCTTTACCAAAGAGCTCAGACTCAGTTAGATAGTCTGGAGAGTGACTTTGAAAAGAAGTCTTTAAGTCTTGTCACAGATTTTCAGCTGAATTTTCTTTGTTCTAAGCCATTTTATTGTATCCCACTTGTATGTTCAGGGTAATTGTCCTATTGAAAGGTTCCAGTCGGGGCCAAAAAGCTACATTTTATTTTTATCTGATGAGAAGATCTTGCAGGTGTTCTTCACACTTTGTGGCAAACTGCTTCTCAGGCTGTCTTGTAACAAAGTCTGTCTTTATTTCACTCATTAATAAAGACCAGATTTGTTCAGTGATTGACTGATCTCTCCACTGTTGCCTTTGTCCTCTTTGTCCTACCTTAGTCCTCCATCTGAAGCGTTCACAGATCAGCTGTATTTATAACTATTTCAATTACACATTGAATTCTTAACTTAGGTAAATTAGGTGAAACAACTTTTTAAAGTGGTTTTCCTTCCATTTTACCCCTCTTCCCCCCAAAAAAAATCAACAAAAATACATTGCAATTTTTGTTATAATGCGACAAAACAAAGAGATGCCCAGGGGTATTCATAACCCTGTATTTTAAATACAAAAAAAAAAATACTGGGTTGAATTTCCCTTTCAACTGATGACTGACAAGCAGGAGCTCAAGCGTGTAAATGATGAATCACTAAATGAGAGGTGGAGACACTTACGGATAATAAGAGTAGTGGTCCCTTCTGGCAAGAGCGCAGCAAAGGGAGGTTGGTGGGGAAGGAAAATCAAGAGAAAGAAGATATGTAAGATGAAAGCAATGCCAGCTGAGGGCAGAATGCATTGATTATAGTGAAAATAAAGAGTCCAGCTGTGCAGGTGGCCGTATGACACATGCGAGTGGTTCAAGCAGCAGCTGGCAGATCAAAAACACGGCGAGGCGGACAAACTTTCAATCGACTCGATTTCTGGCCGCTGCACTACACTGGGCCGCGTAGCTTCCTGTCACAGCAAATCTGGCAATCAATTCTCTGGGACAAAACCCACAGAGGCTCAGGAGCCAGTGTCCAGAATAGCAGCGACTTCAATTATCAGCTTTCTTCAATATTAGCAAAGATGCTGCATCAGCATTTTGAATAGTGAACAAGCAGTTCCAACTCCTCTTATGATTAGTTCTGCTCCTTATTGATATATGTTTTTCTGTCAGGCACTTGGACTTAGAAAAAAATCTAAAGGTGCAGTTATCTAAGTAGAAGAGCTAAAGGTGGATATAATTTACTCATGGGATCATTGGCTAATAATCTCAGAAGGGACACCTTTCCTCTCCCAATTGCCATCTCATTTAAGGGTCAGGCCTCTGCTCGGTGTGCGTAATTAAGTGGTTAATTGAATTGCATCCGCCTTTAATTAAATACTTCACACTCAGATGGGCTCTGCGCATGTGAGCTATTTGCTCCCTCTGGGATGGGAAAACAACACGGCAATGCTTGCTGGTCCTGCTCTTCCCTAGAAAGCGTGACCTTTAGCAAAGTTCAGCAAGTGCATAGAAGGTAGTCATTGAGCTCTTTTAAACAACAAAATGAAGGGATGCGGCAGATGCGACATGACTGAGCAAAATGAGGCATGTTTGTCTTGCATGGAGCAAGTCATAGAGGAGTCATTTACCCTTTTTTAATGATGATAATAACAGCGCCGAGCAGGAGGATCAAGATCACCAGGCCTCCAGCGCACACGCCGAGGATCAGCCCCATCTCTTCAGAGTGCTGAGACACCTCCAGAGCTCTCTGGTGATCCTTACAGGCGGCTGGACGCAAGAACATGAAAGCAAAGAAACAACAAGAAGCACTCATTTATGTACAGATGTATCTTTTGTTGAAAAAAAACATAGGAAGCATATTTTGTAACAATCCAAATTGGTCTCTGTGGTTTAGGGACCATTTCCTGTGAAAAAAACTGACAAAGAAATCAAATGCCTTCAATATAATAGACAATGCAACAAATCTGGCATTTCTACAGAGATACACAATTGTGAACAAAAATTCAACTATCACTTTTATATTTTGTATCCAAAGTTAGTCTTTCAGTTTCTTTTTTTGCTCTATTTTGATCAGGACAACTTTGAGCAGTGGGAAAAAAAGAACCCTAAATACAAAAATTAAATCAGTATTGTCTATCCAATATCTATAAAAAGATATTGTTGAAAATGTTCTTTTATTTGGCTAATTAGGTGATTTGCTCTCACTAGGAAAGAATTGTATTGCCAACTGTGTAGCCATAAGACTCCATCTTAATAAATTGAAATATTATAAAAACATAAATATCTTTCATCAGTTCACATTAATGTTATTTTGTTAGTTTTTATATTCTCATAAAAAAAGGTCTTTTTACATAGAAACGTCATCCTTCTGAGAGGTATGTTTGTACCTCTCACATTATCCACACTCTTTGGACTTGACTTGGGCTCCTTTTATGTAATTTACTGCATTAATGCGGTGTGGCATGGAATTTCTCAGCCTCTGGCTCTGCTGAAGTGTTATGGAAGTCCAGGTTGCTTTAATAGTGGGCTTCAGCTTGCCTAGACAACGTTATTCAGTTTTAGGTCCATTTAAAGGCCAACAATTAACAGTAATAGCGTAGTCTTAAAGCCAGGAAACAGTACTTTTGGCAGTGTGGGTAGGGACAAACACCTACTGCAAAATAACATTAGAATCTCCATTAAGCTTTCCAGCAGGGGGAAGCATTAGGAGCTCTAAAAATGACTGCACTGCATAGCTGCACTGACTTTACACTGTATAAAACGCAGGGGGCCAACATCAAAACTACTGCTGATTGCTGACCTCAAGCAAATTGGATTCTGTGGCTCCCCACTGTCCCTTGCGACTCTGAGGTGTTGATTTCTACATTGAATTAAACATGTACTTTTTTCAAAAAGAATGAATTTAAGATACTGAGCAGCAGGCCATTCTCCTTGGCCCATCTGAGACGGTTCTGATTTAATGTCTTCTGGCTCAGCACAAGGAATATGACCGTTGTAATTCATATGCTGTTTACATCTGACTAGCTGCATTCCACCTAATGTGTTTTGAATGAGCTTTACTGCACAGTTCTCTTTAGGCTGCAGTGGCCACTGTTACTAGAGCACCCTTTTTCCTTCCACTCAACTTTCTATAACCATAGTTGGGTGCATAACTCTGAAAACAGCAAAGAAATCATCTTGTCTGGTTTGCTCTCCGAAAAAAAAAATGTCTCTGGTTACGTGCTGGTCCTGTTTTTCTCAAGATTGCATTGGGCCTGACATGACAATAACAAAACACCTCTGTCTAAACAATTCTTATGGTTGAAGTGTGAAACATACAATGAAACTTTAAAGGTGACTTTTAAGCAGAAAATGAATTAAATATAGCATTCCCAGTCAAAATAATCTGCTCAGGCCTGCAGCATAATCTCAAGGTGCCCTGGTGTCTGTTAGCCAATGAAAAGGTCATTATCATAATAGCAGGTTATTCATTTCTCTGCCATAAAGCTTCATACTTATGTAAATGGAGCTGAGCAGAGGGGCTGCCTTTGTCTTGTTATAGGGGCCCACTGATCTAGTTTTTTTTTTTTCTCCTCCCTACTGCCAGCCTGTCCTCCAGGCTTTGACAGCCCTGAAACCAGCCCTCCTGATCCCATTGGAACAGCTCAAACTATCTGGAGAGCAGGAGAAAGTCAGAGCACGCCTGGGGATAGAGTGCTATCTCACAGTGTGCTGAGGGGGGAAAAAAATCAGATCTAGGGCAGGGACAATGAAAATACAGCCATCCTTTAGCCCAACTATCAGCAGCCAAGGGCAGTGCTTTTGAACCCTCATCCCAAATAAAGATGAAAGTAGTACAATATCAGTTCATTACTTGTCAGGGTTTTTTAATAAGTGATGAGCGTCTGGCTTAGTGGAGTGATCTCATTTTAGGATAGCTTTTGTGTTGCCATGTTGCTCTGGATATGTCTGTGTCCCATTTATTGATAAAGCATTTATTTAACAAGTGTTTTTCATATGCACCAGTCTTGGAAAGGATTTTCCTTTTTTTTTTTTTTTTTGGAAAACACGGCTCCTGTAAATCAAAACACAAATAATTCAGCCTGTCAGAAAGCTGATCGATTCAAAACCTCCTCGCAGTAACAGACTCTGTTTATTGTCTTTGCATTTAATATAACTCTGATAAAGGGATACACCAGTTAAAGATTTAGATGAGGAGCTGAGGAAAATCAATTTCAGTTCCACAATGTTTTGGGCAGATAAGGCTGTTTTGTCATATTTAGCTTCAAAATTTCCATTAAGCCAAACAGGAGCATGAAATAGATTTCCGTATGAATCCAAGCACCTGCCTGCTGCCCCGTGGTGGAAATTGGCACTTAGAAAAGAAATGGAAGTCTATTGTTGTGTTGTGCCTGCCAGAGGATCCTTAATTAAACTGTCACCTGGAAGTTGAAATGTAATCTCCAGCTCTGTTATCCAAGCCAGAATCATTTGCCTCCACTTTACTGGTGATGGGCTGCTTGATAATAATGGCTCAGGACCTGATAATGCGGAGGCTATGTTAATGGTCGAGAAATTATTGAAAACCATAAAAAAAACTCCTGGAGCACCTTAGAACTGGAAATAAGCTTGAGCTTTCATGATTAGAGCATGTTGGGTTAATTTAGAAAGTAATGCTGGCAATATTTTTTACTAAATTTGCAATATGCTCTGAGAACATTAGTTCTACACTTCTAAAGGACAGAGCATCCCAATCATTTCTGTGGAGCAGGGGAAAGGCTTTCCAGTCTGAAAAGCTAACACTTCTCACATACAAAGTATATAGTAAATACATTCAAAAATGCCAATATATATTAATATATTTTTAATGTTATGCGTAGTTTATTTCATCCATATAGCCAAATGAATACTGTAAATTGATATCCAATTCATCACTGGATATCATGCTAAGTTACTGGTAAGTGGCTGAAAAACAGGAACAGTGAAATTGTCATGATTTAAGCATCATAACAACAATCAGAAAGTTCAGTTTTGATCTACAAAAAGGTATTTTGTTACGATATGGTTTCAGTTACCAAAAAGAGAATAAAATATCACTGTTTACAACAGATCAACAGCACAAATAACTTTATCCAGTCAAATGTATCCTGATCAATCACTCAACTGAGAAATAAATGTTTGGTATAGAAATAATAGTAAATTTGGAAATGCATTTGATGAATTTCAAGTATGTTTTAAGAGCAGTATTTGGTGCCTCATCCATAATTCAACTAAATCGCATTCTGTCACAATAAAACCACAAAATTCTCCATATTTTGTTGGGATTTCATGAGTCAGACTGAAATAAATCCACTCTGTGATTGCAGAGTGGAACAAAAAGTACTCCTTTATTTTCTTGACAAATAATAATGTCAAGGTTTTGATGAAGAAATGGTTAGTCTAGTCATTTTATACTTGGCTTTCAGTGATGCAAGACTTGACTCAGACTTCTTCAGACTAAAATGTAATGTATATGCCTACTTGCAACCCCAGGAAATTAGCTATATCCTAAAAGTGAATTACTTATCTTGCTTTTAGGTTATGTTCTCTTCTGTTTCCTGTCTTTCCATAGAAATGTTTATATATTGCTGCACCAATGTTTTTTTTTCCCCTTATTTTCCGGCACCTCATGTCAAAAGGCACGAGGCCAGCACAGCATTCAGTTCTTTGCTGTATGAAATTATAATTAGCTGATGCCCGACTGAGTAGTACGAGGCAGATGGAGTGAGAGCTGAGCTTTGCCTTTTGGCTTTATGCTTGAGGAGAGCCTCATCTCTCGTAATGTAGCCACAAAAGGAGTCCTTCTCAAAAAAAAAAAAAAAAAGAGACAGCCCTCTAAATCAATTGACTTACAAGGCTCCGCTTACTGTTGCAGCACTGATAGCTATAAATACATGACTTTTATTCGCCATGATATGACAGCGTACTGTGGCACAGAGACTCTCCTGCCATCAGGACTTAAAGTCAATTTTTCTGCCCTTTTCATGTCTCTTTGAATCAAAACATGGAGGTGCAAAGGAGGAGGGATGGAGGGTGCAGCACTTTCTTATACTGATAGGCCAAGGTAGCTCCATCTGGAAGTTTTGATCTGGAGAACCCTTTTGGATGCACTGAGGTCAGAGCTCTCAGATGTAAGCTATCTGGTGGGCTGCTGAAGAGAACAAAGAGACTGGTTTGATGTGGTGTATCCCACTGTCTGGCCCAAACAGGCAGGATGAAAGCCTGACCTCTAATCCCTCCCTGCTCGTTGCCCTTTCCACTGGGGCCCACTGCTGAACAACAAGAAACCATCAGAGAAAATATGTCCGGATCCAAGCCTTTGTACTTAAGAAAAGGGTAAACAGTGGTGTAGCACACACATAAAGTACACTGCATCTTCATGGTTTGTTCATGGCTTTTTGCTTTTATAAAAGGAAAGGTACACTGGCTTGCTTAAAGGTAAAAAGAATTAGAGGATAATATTTGCAAATTTAGAGAAAAACTGGTTTTTGAATTACCTTTGCGAGCGATGCGGATGCAGTTAATTCTGGATTCCTGAAATGCAGAGAAAACACAGCCATCAGTGGAGCGGTGTCATTTAGCATTTTACATGAAAAACAAATGATAGAAGAAAGTAGGGTGGCATAAATCACATTGCTGAAGCACAGTATATTACCCTGAGAGTATGACAAAAGATAAAAGCTAATTAATTGACATGGACTTGTGTTTCCTCCAAAGGCAAGTAAACATAGACAATACTGATCATGATATGGAGTAAAAGTACAAATTATCAAACAATATTAAAGTAAAATATCTAGAACCTGAGAGCTGTGGTGAAGTGTGTAAAGAAGATTATAGGGTTTTTTTTCACTGAGGGAGAAAAGATGGGAGCTGAAATAAAGAGAGTGTAATTAAAAGGAGGGTTTCAGACCAGTGCCCCACGATGAAAACGAATTAATTTTATTCAGATTTCATCTGATGACATCTCAGCGTTATGAAAAGGACCTTTGTCAAATAGCTCTAATGAGATCCAAGACTGTAATCCAATTCCATCCTGCACCCCCCATGGAGGAGATTTATTATCAAATTAAAATTTACAGATGCCAATTCAGGCACTATGGGACAATTGTAGCAATTTTTGCCTATTTGGAAAGAAGCAAAATAAGTGATTTTCTTAAGCTGGTTAAATGGCCTTTTTAAATTGCCATTGCACATTAAGCTGATGGTCACTTCAGACATGCTTATAATTCAGCCTTTTAATCTGCACGTCTACAGCTACATGCTACCATGCTGAGAGCCAGGCGCTTACATTGCTGTCAATGTCACTTTCATTTTAAGCTTTGAAATATTGAGGTTGAACTATTTTGTGGTCTGGAAAGATTAAATGATACACAAATTTAATAAACTTTGAAAACAATGATCAATTGCACAAGCTTTATTCTTCCTTGGAGATTTTCTGTCATCCACAAAATGATGAATGACAAATGAACTCAGTGTTTTAAAAAATGCTCGGGTGAGTCTGCTTTATTTATCAAAAACCAAACAATCAACATGAACAAGGAAAAGGCTTTTTCATTCCTTGGTGACTCAATTTGCACCAACCATCAAGCAAAGGTGATGGTAGCATCATTCTGAGGGCCTGTTTTACTAGAGTTTGCTTTGTAAAAAAAAAATTAACTAATTTCCAAATATTGAGTCAAAACTATGATGTTTGCAAATGGTTTAGGTTAATTGTCTTAAGGTTCTTTCAATAAAAGATTTCTGAAAGTGAAAACAATTAAATCTTTATGTATAATTCTGATTCAGTACTGTAGAGAAAGAATAAATGAAAACTTCTGCACACAGGTCTTGTTTTTGATATTCACTAAAGGTATTTCAGTCTTAAAAAATGGCACAACTGAATAACCAAAATGACATTCTTGCCATGATGAGTGTAAGTGTACGAAAATTTTGTACCACATCGGTGTGTACTCTACCTCACTCTTACATTTTCAGCACAGCAAAACATATGACTTTTTAAAAGGTTTTTGAAGAGTAGGTACTGCTTTTTAATGCATAAAATTGCTCAATATGACGTTGTGATTCACCAGAGAATAATTTATGTAGTTTAAAATGTTAAAATAGCCTTGTTATCTTCCACTTATCCTGCATTCACTCTCTATTTGTGTGAGAGTGAATGAACTCCAGCTCAAAATCTTTTAAAATATTAAAAGTTTATGCACTTCACAGATCTGAAACATGACCATGTTTTAAGCTGAGCTTCAAAACACAAAAAGAAGAAATGAGTCTTAATTGATCAAATGACAGGGGCAAAGTACATAAAGTCATCTTGATATAAAAGCAATGATGGCGCTCATAAAGGGGCTCATAATTTTGCAATCTTAAGATGTGTTTATCTGCTATTACATCTCAAAAGGACTGCTTTAAAATGCACACATTATGATAAATTATGCTATAGTTTAATTACATTGAAAACCAAACAGAATTGAGCAAAGTATTTTGTACATTAATGTGAAAAAAAAATGTTACACAGAGAATAAGTATTTATTTTTCAAAGTTAAACATTTCAAGCAAAAACAGGAAAAACTTTTCAGGCCCAGAGTTAGTATTTGCATTTTAAAATTGTTTAAGCTTCAGTGGCATATTTCAAAATCCATTAATTTCAACAAATTAATAACCCTTTTAATTAATAATCATTCATTTTGTTCTTTGAAAGGGCAACACTGAACAGCTGACTTTGAGTTTTTTTGTCCTTAATTATATAAAACTGTTTTCTTCTGAGGAAAAAAAAGCAAACTGAGATTGATTCATCTAATTCTGCTTCCAAAGCAGCTGAGATCAGTCATACATTTAGTTATTACAGGCTTCGGCCAACTAAGATACATACATTGTCAGCTATTTACTGCAGTAAACAAATAAGCTATTGTGATGGATGGAGGCAAATTCAGTAAAATGGGCACCTAAATCAAAGCGCAAGAGCTCAGCAGAAGAGTAAACTGCCAAGGTCCAGGCTGTCAAACATACATCACATGTCTCTGAGTGCAGTGCCAGTCATGCCACAGGGGCTGCTGATTCCTGGCAATTCTAAATACAAAACACAAATGCCAGTGCACAACACAGCTCCAAAGCACACGGTTTGTGTACGTGTGTGCCAGTGAGTAAAGCTGAAAATTAAAAGCAAACGTTACAGATTGTGATGGTGTGGCCTACAAAGCAACAGTCTATCATTGTTGTGAGCGATCAATAGCAGCAATTACACAACCTTGACAGGTACTATGAGATAATAGCAGGGATGAAGTTCCAAATATTCTGGGTCAAATGCAACCAATGAACCTGCTTACAACACCACTAGTCTTCAAGAGGATTCACTGTGGTGTTTGGCCTCCATAAAGGTAAACAAAAAAACCACACACACACAAATACTGAATTAATGAGGGCAATTAAGAGGCCTGACAATTCATCTTGAATTTTTATGAAAAGGTTAGGCCACAAAGACCTGAAGTGATTATTAAATTTGACAGGTCAAAACAACAGTAGCACACAGAATGTTGGATTAGAAATCAATTGTAGAAGATTTACACAATATTTTTTATGATGTTTAATTTTTAAATCAGGACCTCTGCGGCTGCAAGCAACTGACTATCTGCTGGAAAATAGAGATGCACTGAAACTGATCAGAAACCTAGCTTTTATGATTTGTGAATGCACCATATCTAAGTGCTGACAGGTCTCTTTGGGATGGAAGTTGTTTCTGCAGAAAAGCGGCTTAGCTGTTTTCAGTGTAACTTTGGCGCTTAGAAAAAGACATAACATTCTGAAAAATAAATTAAATAACCAAAAGCTTCGATTTATTATAAACATATGGTGCAGAAACTCGTGGATATTTTGTGAAACATTCCACTTGACAAATAATCATGAATAAACACAAAGGTAATGTTCTTTAGAGTTGGGTTAATTTTGTTTAATACAATTCTGACTGCAAGTCTTGACGGCATTACTAGATATTTAGTAGGTGAAAGTACAAATCAGAACTGGCTAAAATCTGTCGACACACCAACTTTTTTAAAAGTCTTATCAGTTACTAATTGTAATGTAAGAACATGTAATTCAAAATATTTTTAAAATATACATTGGCCAGTGCTTGAGGTGAAGCTTTGTGTCCAACAAATCCAGAATCCAGGTAGTTTAACTTGAATTTTGTGAGTAAAATGCTAAAATGTGGAAGGCTTGTAGAGTTTAGTTACACCTGGAGGATCAGCAGAAAGATCCAAAACAACAGCAGTCATTAAGCAATTGCTGGAACGTTCCTGGTCCAAACAGACTCCATGAGCCAAACATCACCATCTGGCTTTGATAAAATGTTTCAGAAGCACTTGAACGTGACTGCTGGCAGATCACTCTGTGAGGTGAAAAATGATGGCTCTCAAATGATAATAACACTATTATCAGACAAAAGTACCATGGTGCATGATTGGCTGCTTTGTTAACAGTCTAATTACGCAGCTCAAATGTTTTCTGAATCCATTTTACTTTGTGAATTTATCACTTTTTTTTACTGCTGTAGTTCATTCTGTTTGCTGTGACATGTCACCATTTATTTCCTTCTGTAACTTATAGGACCAGTAACAACCAGTTTTGCATACTTTCACTTCAATAAACCCTAAAACGTTGGAAAGACTTCCCTTATTGGGAGAGGAATCATGAAGTTAGCCTTTTTTATTGAACACACATGTGCATGCGTGCAGCAAGATTGAATGAAACTGTACATTGCAGGATTTGAAAGACTAGAGACAATGTTGGCTGAATGAGTTGGCACCACGGGTCAAGAATGCTGGCCCCTCGCCAGGCCAAACAAAACATAATCCCATCCGCTGGTAAAGCCAGGCATCCCCAGTCTAATCCCATGCTTAACAGGCTAGTTTGGTGAAGTGCTCACACTGCACTCTCCTCCATGTGCTTCTCCACTGAGTTGGAAACAGATGATACTGGAAGGGATGAGCCACCCAGCCCTATTTGTGGGACTTTATATTCCAAACTCGGCTCAAAAAGAAAAGGCAAAAAATATGGGAATCATCAACAGTCAAGACTCGAGCAGCCAAACTGATACAAATAAAAAGTTATTTACTGCACTGTTTCTCTGCAGTCATGGCCAAAGGTTTTGGCAGTGACACATATGTCACTTTACAAATTCAAGAGATTTAGTTGAGACAGTTACAGTTCACACTGTTGTCAGAAAGTAGTGGAGAAAGAGGAGAAGGATCTTAAATAATTACAAAGAGATTTATTATCTCAAACAAAACACCTTAGAATGAAAAAAAGAATTTTGTCTATATTTAGACTAAATTATGATATAAATTTGTTTCACTTTAGCATTATGAGACCAACTAAACCCATGATGGAGTCAAGCTGAAACCCCCAAATTTAATTAGTAGACTGATTTTTCTACAGGAGTGTTAAATAAGCTTAAAATTGCAAAGATCCCAGCCTAATTTCTCAAATGATTGGTATCATGAGTACCTGACAAATCGTCACCTACACCTGATTTAACAATGCCAAAATATTTTTGTGTATGGCTTCGAAAACTTTGCTTTGGTTTGATTTTGTTGAACACATGGGCTTTCTGTTCAGAATCACACCTACATTTAATCCCACTCTTGATTGTGTCCCTCAGTGTCTCTTGGCACCGCCAACTTTGGTGGAAATTTTCAAAATTTGTCTGGTTTGGGATTATGTTTTAACATTGGGTTTAGTTCCACTTTAATGAGTTTGACTAGTATCAAGGACATGAAATCAGGAATCAGTTCTGCCAACAGTGACAGAAATACAGGATTACTTCTCATCAATGGGAATGGGCTTCCTCACTGTTCTCTCAAAGAAAGTGTCCATGAATAAAGTCTGGGAGGTAAAGAGTGACTTTCTTCAAAAATTCAGACAATCTTTTATGACTTATGCTTATTGGCAGGAAACTTAACCCATCCGTAGTTAGCGCTCCTAAAATATACAGCATAAAGAAGCCCAACAAATTGAGACCTATACCAACAGATGACTGATGCACAAGTCACAACAAGCCAGTGTTTGGCACAGACTTTACACTGAAAAGATGAAGCCCTGTAACTTTCTGCAAAATCTATATGAGAGAATAAGTGTATAAAAATGTGAAATGATTAACTGTCCTTCAGCACAGCACAGAAAGAAAGTACATTTTTCAAATATGTTGGTGACATAATTTTTTACTGCCTTGCAGCAAACAACTTTGTCCATCATAGTCAGGTTTTATAGACAATACATTTTAAAACACCAGCTTTCTACCACTGGTTTTCTGCACCTTCACCCTATTATGTTTAAGTAATTGCCTTACAAAGGTAGGAACTGCCCCTGTGATGAAATTTAGACAGGTAATGTGGCATCCTCCAAGGAACGTCTAGAGTATTTGTCTGCTATAAAACAATGATGCAGGGAAACAGCACTGAATTGGAACTGAAAAGTGCCTGGACTTTGGGTAATTTCAGCTAGTCAGAGGACTTCTTTTCTGAATGCACATAATTCCCTTTTCAGAAATGTTTTGTTTCTGAAGAATCGGAATGTAAACATTTGCAGCCTATTTTCAAACCAACAATTTCTCTAACAGCACAAATAATAATTTGGGGCATTGTGATCTCAGACAATCCCAAGTGCCCTGCGGCTTTAACCACATAATTAGAGCTGCAACAAAACAGAGACTTATTCAACAAGGCCCTTCAATGGAATAGCTTTAAACACTTATGCTTACAGGTTGGTCATCAAATACAGTCAGATCTGCAACATCTCTGGCTGGAGTTTCATCACTCACCCCTTTGAAGTTGCTCATTGCCTGGAAATAGACCAGATAGCTTTTGCGCGGGTCCAGTGGGGTGTTCCAGTAGCCATTGTATGTGTGGTTGTCTCCGACAGTGAAGGCCTCTGGCAGGCTGCTGGGTGGCAGCTCGGCTGTGTAGTAGTGCGGTGTACCTCGCGCCTGAGCCTCACCATGAGACATGGGCAACGGGAAGCACTCCTGAAAGCCCAACTCTCTCTTCACTTTCTTCACAGTTTCCTCTTCAACCACCACCTGGTATGTGCTGGAAACAGAGTGGATATGAAACTTTAATAGACCATGGTATTATAAGCATATGATATGTTCGTTTGAGATGATCTTACCTGACCGGTGCTCCTCTGCCCCGCGCAGGGCGCAGCACCACAGTAATGGTATGATCTGTCTCACTCAGAGGTGATGGCATGTCTCCATAATCAAATGTAGGAGCTGAAAACACACATAGAAGACACATTTAGGGTTTGGGCCTCAAAGACAACACATGCAGTTATTTTTGTCATATTACACAAATCTTAATGTAATTGTTAAGGATTTTATGTTAGAGACCAAGAGAAAGTAAAGTGCATGAAAAATTATATGTGGATTTGGCAGTTTTGCACAAAGATTTTTTTTTTAAATTAACATCACATTTCTATTGAGGAGTCTTTGATAATCCCAAATTAAAGTAAATACAGCTAATTTCCTTCAAAAGTCACAATAAACATAGTCAACATGTGTGATTTAATCTCAGTTTAAATGCAGGTGTTCTGTTAAGGTCTCAAAAATTTGTTAGAGTATTTTCAAGAACAAGCAGCACAATACAGACACAAAGACATGGCATATTAGAACTGTGGAGAAGTTTAAAAAGGTTTAAAGAGGTCTTGAAATAGCTCTGAACATCCTACATTACGCTGTTTCATCTGCCACCTGAAAAGTATGGAAAATTTACAAAAGTACCAAGACCTGGCATTTTACCTAAACCCACAGGCCAGACAAGAATATTAATATGAGCAGCCAAGAGGCCCATGGTTACTTTGGAAGCAGCTGCAGAGATTCACAGCTCAGATGAGAGAAATTGCACACCGGAGCCAGGAGCACCATTAGTCTTGCCATCCAAAAATCTGCTCTCCATGGAAGGAGAGCAGATTATTTTGTCATATATGGGATATGGGAACCATTGTAAAAGGAAAGCTGTAATGTTCTCCTTTTGCTGCAAATATTTAGGAGACACAGCAAATGTGTCTTGGAAGTTGGTCTGATCAGACAAGAATATAAATAGGCAAACACTATGCATAGCAGAAAACTAACACAACACATCATCCTGAACCTTTCCTCCTGTAAAATATGATGGTGGCGACATCATGCTGTCCATGTGTTTTTCTTCAACAGGGACAAGGAAACTGGTTAGAGTTGACAGGAAAATGGAGTAAACTAATAACAGGGGAATCCTGTGACCAAAGCAAATGGCTTGAGACCTTAAAGCAGGACAACCTCCCTAAAAATATACAATAAAATGGTTTGGATCAAAGTACATTTTCTGTGTTGCAATGTCCAAGGCAAAGACTTAACACCTATTTTACAAATAAGAATAGGCAAAAATATACTCTCTCTTAAAAGACCTGCAACTATGACTGCAGCAAAAGATAACTCTAATTATTCATTTTTGGGGGCTGAAGACTTTTTCAAAAACCCATTTAAATACATTTAAATGTAAGAAAATCACAAGTGTCTGAATATTATTGCAAGACACTGTAGAAGCAAATAAACTTCACATTGCTCATTAACGTAGTACTAATTCAACTGCACCTTCATGTTTCACAATAACAACAATGATTTAGATTAGTAGTAGCAGAATGCCTACTCGTTTTTAGCATGGAGACAAAACATTTATATAACACCAAACACCCACAATCTCATTTCAAGCATGATACTCGAATTCCCCTTCCAGTTGTCTTGGACACAGCGCCAATTAAAAATCACAGGACTGAGGCTAAATTGAATGGCTTTCTCATTTGGAGGGATTTGGCTAAAGTCGCGCTCCTCCCCAGAGATGTTGTGGCACATTTCTCTTTAATATCAGCAGTCAATTAGTGAGGGGGAAGCAGAGCAAACTATTCATGAGGCATAGATAATTATCGAATTAAAAGGCGGTTTGCTAATACTGCGGCAGAATAGAGCTGACATCAATTACAGGCGGCAGCTTTAAAGAAAACCGGGTGTGTGTTTGTTGATGCTAAGGGAGCATGGCAGTAAAAAACAGTTTGAAGCCTGCTGCCAGGTCCAGTCTGTCTGAAGAATATTAGTGCATCAGCCACAGCGACGCACATCGCTGAATGTATAAGTGCGCTGGCCAATGAGGAAATGTGTGCAGTCAGGTATTGTGAGGTGGGTGTTGTTTAAAGATGCTGACAGTAGTGGCTGCTGAAGGTGTTCGGTGTTTGCTAGCTGTCAGCGCAGATTTAGGAGACGCTCAGTGTAAGTGAATGTTCTGCACTGTGAGCTGCTGAAGCAGGAAGATGATGATCTGCAAAGACTTTTGAAGTCTATCCGTGGTCTGGATTGGTGCCAGAAGTCTCTCTCATAAGCATCCAAAAGGCCAGAATGGTGGGTTTAATCTATAACACACAACCTGAACCTACCTGTGAAGAGACATGGGCTAGAGAAAGAAAGGGAGGGTAAAACAGCGGGACTGCGGTGAGCTCCTCAGAGATGTAATCCCACTCTTTAGCTAGTGAGAATGCATCATCAAAAGGAAACAGCAATAGAAAGGCTGACATCCTACCACTATTAATGGGCTCAGAAACTCCTGGAAGTGACATTCAGGTCTCATGAATGTACTGCATCTTTCTTCATACGCTGCACACAACATGCTTCCCTCTGAGGAGATTCTCTGCCTTCTACGTGTTAATTTATATCCTGTGGACTGTGAGCTGACAGCGTCATGCAAGTTTGGAGAAGTGATGAAATATGGCTCCTCCACTGTGGGAGCAGTAGTTTTACCTCAGTGAAGGAGAAACACAGACGTCGAAGAGACCAATCCCAAAATCCCTCTTTGATGGCTAAGAACTTTGTGCAGTATATAAAGGCTACAAGATGGATGTTGAAGCCAATAAAAAAGTGTTTTATAGTGTACTGTCAATGACCTGTCTAGTGAAAAAAGACTGATGCAAAGAACAATAATTTAAATAGGGCTCCAATACAAGAGATAAATTTAGAAAGCAGTGTAATATTCAAAATTTTTACAACCATTTTTCTCCTGAAACATGTTTTCTTTCTGAATTCACAAAGCATTTTTCACTAATGCCTGCAGAAGCAGTCCCACCCATAAAATCTAGATGTGAGCAATTTGCACCTGTTTCTTTCCACATTTTACCTGTTGTTTTTCATAACTTTCCTGGGGTGATTGATGTTTCTTTGATTTATTTCATTTCTTTAATTAACCAATAATACCAATTTGTATACCTTCGACCTTTCTTGTGCTCTTTTTTTCCTGATATTGAAATACTTAAAAAATTGCATTTAATTTTTTTCAGCTCGGTAAGAAAATTTTTTTTTATGTCATGCAAATACAGTAATTTTCACAAGAGGGAAAATACAAAAGAGAGACTTTAACTGCTTCAACTCAAATTTAAGCATTTTAAATGAATGGAAAGCAGAACTGAAGTTTACCAGGGCATTCAAATAAAAAATGAAGACATAATATTTATTGCAAAAACTGATTGTAAAAAGTCCTTAAGTCCACAGTCTAAAATCAATTTATTCTTCAGTTTTTGTCAATGGAGCAGGAAACCAACAAGGTGAAACGTTCTACGTTTTCTCGTTATCAAACAGGGAATTGGGGAAATTGGTGTTTGTACCTGAGATGTTGGTGGTAATTTCAGTGAGGGCAGTCTGGCCAAAGCCCTTAGCCGTTCGTGCTCGAACAAAGATCAGGTAAGTCGTTCCAGGGTGGAGGTTGGAGAACATATGGTACGTCTCATTCTTGAGCTTAGACACGGTTCTTTTGGGTCCTGGGACGTTTATGCCTGGATCAGATGACTCAATGCTCTGGTAGCTGATCTGTTGGCAGGTGAGAAAACACAAGATGATTTCATTTAATGGGATAAGAGCAAGTCACCTTGGCCCTGATTCTGAGCTGTGTTTGCAGACTTTGACAGATTTCATGTAAGACTATTAACTCACCCCTTGAAAGGCTCTGTAGAAGTTACTCACTATGACTCACTCAATTAAGAAATAAATTAGCTTCTTAAATGGTTGTCCTGATTATGCCGGTGCAGTTTATAATTTCACATGAATAAGACCTAATTGACATTGCATGGGTTTAATCAATGTGGGATTATTATTATTATTTTTTTTTTCTCAAAAAGACTAATGCACGCGATGAATGATTGCCTGCCTAAGTAGCGCATTATTGAGGTTGAAAACTCTGGACACCCCACATTAAAAAGTATACTCAAGTGTTTATAAGTTCAATTAACTCCTGTTAACAAAATGCCACAGATCACCGTCCTTAAAAAGTGTAATTTTTCAGAAAGTTTTTCTTCAAGAGGTTTCTTGCCTCGCATGTACCTGGTGGAGAGCTTCCACTTGAACTGTTTGAAAGAGACAAGTGCTAAATGATGTGACCTGCCTGCAATTAGGGTGAGGATATTAGGACGTACATCAGAGCTGAAGAAGGTCTTCTTAATTTAAAGGAATGAACATGAGCAGACATTATGAAGTGGGAGTGCCTACATCACACACCGAGGATACCTCCCAACCTCTCTCTAATCAGAATGCTTGCTCATGCCTCCTTGTTGTTGCAATATAATTGTTACCTATTAGAAATTAAGGAAAAAGAGACAGGACACTGAGGAGAAAAGGATGGAAGATAATTGACAGAACAGTGATGGAGATTTGCAAAGTGGAGGGCAGTCGATGGCGTTGTGGTCAATGATTCATTCTAAGAGTAATGAAGATTATTTCTCACAGCTTTCTCTGTCAGGTCACAGTGATCCTCACAAGAAAGTCCAAATATCTGGTCACTTTATTTTCAAGAAAGGTCAAGAAAGGAAACATTACTGTGAGGATCGGTAAGCAGCCCTACTGATTGCTTACCACAGACAGAGAGTGTACAGTAAATACAAAATCATTACCTAGCTAAATGGAAGCCCCACAGCTAAAACAAACGTGTGTGATTTATTGATTAATAGTGCCAGCCTCTGTTCCAATGGGACAAGTGCAATGTTAAGTCGAAGCCTGTGTGCAAGGTCAGCGAGTGTATCCAGCCCTTACTGCTATTTTTGTTAGTACGGACACAGTGAACCGTGCATTGAAAGGGGCACCAGTGGAAGATTTTAGTGATTAAGCACGCAGTGTACTGAATCTGCTCGGTGCCAGCGATACTGAAAATGACTCAGTAAATGGACAGGGGGGTATTTTTCACACCAGGGAAACAAAAACACTACAAGAAGAGGCAAATTTCAGTTTCCAGGATATTTTCTGCTCTGGTATGGGCTCCTCCATTTGAACGAGTGCAAATTTGGACTAGATTTTTTTATTTTGAGGTTTTAGCTTTTGAGAATCAGAAGTAGCCCAACATTAGAGTTTGGGAAGTTTCTAAAAGGACTGTACCTTCATATGCTAAAATGCATAGGATTCCTTACAAAAAAAAAAACAAAAAACAGACTTTTTCTCAACCCGTTCAAACCTAAAGAAGGAGTCTTCAAATTCAGGCCTCGGGGGCAAATGTCTTTGCTTCAACCCATCTGAATCAACTAATGAGGTCACTAGCAGAACTAGGGACCTGCTAGTGAACTAGTGACTGCAGTATGCAATCAAGATAGAACTTGACTGCATACTGAAGAGGTAATTCAGCCATTTGATTCAAGAGCGCTAGATCAGGACACTGCAGGACACTGGCCCTTCAGACCTGGATTTGAAAACCCCTGACTGAAAGGTTAAGAGTTTATTTGTCTCTTGATATTAGTTGTCCTCAATGTGACTGTTAATCAAACAGCACATATATAAATTTTCTGCAGATACAAAGAGAGATTGAGGTTGATCAGATTGAGATGATTTCAGGCTTGACCAACTCTTGAACACCAATTTATGCAGGGTGACCCCAAGAAATTAGACATCATCACATAATAGGAGCCTAAAGATCTTGCAGCAAAAATAGTATGTTTAATTATTTTGCATTTCTTTTCATTTTGGAGTTTTAGCCAAAGATCTACAAAGGAGAACAAAATATGATGAATTTGGTGCAGTGATACAGTCATGCATCAAGCGTGAATTTTATCGTCGAAAATAAATTGCTTGTGAAGTCTTAACATAAATTTTGAAGTGGCTTTCTTTATCAGCACCTGGAAGAGCAGATAATAAAGAGCAGTGCTCAATATCACTAAGCAATGACCATAAACCTGAGATTGCATCGGTTCTTCAAAATAAAGTTCAAAGACATTCTTCAGACTAGATGCCTTGTATTTTGTGGGCTCATTGCTTCTGAAATAAGACTCAAAACTCCTCACAGAATAAAATGTGAATAAAATGAATTAAAAATCAAATTTTACACTTTTGACCCTAAAAATATATGTTCCTGTGCATTTATTATGTAGAAACGAAGCTTCCTGCTTCACTCCACATGTATTTGTGCTGTTCTATGAACTATGTAAGTTAAGCTAACAGAAGTGTCTCTGTGGGCTCACCTCATACTGCGTAATTAGGCCGTTGGGCTCAAGTGGCTCCTCCCACTTCAGGAAGATCATGTCATCCAGAGGGGTGAAGGTGAGCGTCTCTGGCGCTATGCCTCCGGGAACTATGAGAAATTGTCAGAGCAAACATTTGTCAGGGAAATTGAAGTGCTGATCCCACGATGAGCATGTCGTGTCAATATCACCGGAGTGAATGTCACAGTGGCTCAGAACAAAGAGCCACAAGAGAAACTCACTACCAGAGAGCAGACAGGCAGAAAAGATCTGATAAGGACAATTTTAATACATAAACCGCATGAAGGATTTATCTGCAACACACACAAGAAGAAAACTTTCCACAAAGTATCATAATTTCATACCAATTTTCAGTGAAACTTTAAATATATTTGTGAATATATCACCCGCTTGCTTGGAAATTTGATTTCGACATGAATGTAAATGATTGAATATTTAAGTGAAGGCTGATTTCTGGGTTGTACAGTTGCAGGCTGTGTCTTCACAGTCTCAAGCTGTGTACAGAGGAAGACTGCTAGATTCAGTCCTGAGGCTAAAGCAAGAGCAAAACAGCTGAGCTGTCTCTTTGAATTCAGATAAAAGTTGCTTACTAAGACTTTGGCAAAAAGCTCTCATAATTGGCACACTCTGTATTAAAAAATAGATAGACATAATTATCCTAATAGCTAAAAATAAAGAAATTGTATGTGGCTCGCTCTCTGTTTCTTTATCTCATTGTGAGAAATCTTGTTTGTTTAGATTTTTATTTTCATGGGAGAATTGATTTTTCTCTCCACCATCATGCAGACGATAAGTCACTGCAGATAGAAGATAAGAGGCATGAAATTCTTTCTCAAGATTGTCCTCGTTTTCTCCTTTACATCTCAGTCTGAAAATAAAATGTCTTTTGTGACGTTCATTCAGGATCGTTCAGATCAGACACATGCATAAGAACTCCACTGTACAAAACCGCTTTATGTTAAATTCACCCTGAATAAAAACGGCTGACATACAGTATGGAACTGTTACACAACAGATTTATACTCAGAGATATACTTTGGAAGTTTCTTAAGGTACTCACACACTCTGAAAGTCAAATATTTCAGTGCTGAAAATTCTCCAGTTTAACATTCAATGTGACAACATTTAAAGAAATAGATTCTTATTCTTCATGTAACAAATACTTCACTAAAGACTAACTCTGTGAACATCTGGCTTCCAACATAATTAAAGTACAGGATGTGGCAATTTGAAGTTCTGCATAAGTGCTGCAAAAGAATTTAAGTGGTTAAACCAATAGTAAAACTATTATCTATGACAGTAAATTGCATGTCATACATTCTATTAACAATAAATATTTACTTAGTACAAAAATTGTAAATGAAATTAAAGAAACGCACACACACATATTCCCTAAATATAATATAAAACACTGGAGACACTAATTTAAGATGTTAAAGAGACTTGCAGGTACCAACTCCATGATCATTTCATCTATGTTTTAGTGGAAAAACCTTGTGAACATAAACTGTACCATCACATTCAAGTAATGATGTTTCTCATGCACATAATATAAATGATTACGTAAAGATAATGACAATAAGGCTAGAAACAATCATTTGGTTTTAATCAGTTTTGATCATACACATATGATCTTTAATAGCCCATGTCTGAGCTAGAAAGAAATTATAGAGCTCAACATATGCAGCCATATTTCAAAAATAATGCAGTTAAACAGACTGAAAAGTTAAGTGTAAAGCATACCAATACATTTGAAACCCTAAACTTGTTCTATCACTTCCCAAAGTGTAATTTCGTTACTTCCAGTTTTTACATTGTGTCCTAATATGCACAGCTTAACCTCCATCGGATACTTACTGTCCTCCTCAGTCTGAAAGCTGACCTCTCTGCTCTCCTTCTTCCCCTCTGGGTTTGCCAGTGACAGACGTACGTGAACGCTGTGGTACGGCGGCAGATCACGAAGTGTGAAGCGTGAGGCATTGTGCTCCACTGCCAGGCACTCGCGTACAGTGGTGTTGTGGCCTCCGCCGCCTCCTGCCATGGTGTAGCGGTAGCACAGGGACACTGAGTAGGTATGGCAGCGTGTCAGGTTGAACGCCAGATTCTCCCACTGCAGGGACAGTTGTCTGGACTGGATATCTGTGGCGACGAGGCCTCGCAGCGGACGCATGGGCTCTGAGGAAAATAAAAGAAGGTAATGAAGAAACAGAAAGTGGGAAAGAAAGTCCTGAAGGCTCACTGACTTTCAAAAAGTGTAAAAAAAAAAAAAAGTCTGACTAATATTTATGGACCACCTCAGTAGTTTCTCTCATCCATGCTGCCATATTGCCCGGCCACAACACAGAGGTCAGTTTGCTGCCAGCACAGCACACCCACATCCCTGATGGCAGAGCCGGAGCTCACGCCAATTGCGCTAATTAATAGGACAGGCTGAGTTTCTGTCGTTCGCCCACCAGTTCCCTCCTCTGTGCCGCAGTGTAAGTTTACTCTTCAGTAGCTGTAACTCTCTGCCTAGAGGTTTAATCCCCCATCATGGCAAAACTGCCAGCATTACGCAAGGACATTTACTTCCTCCTGGTCACTTTTACTGTTGGGTCATGGTATATTTTTAGACGTTAATTCTAGTCACAAAGGAGTTAAACTGCACTTTCTCTGACTCAGACTAAATGAACAAGAGATCTGTCTTTAATATTCCCCTTGCCGCCCTCACTGAGAGATACAGAGAGCCTCTATGCACAGAGGCACAGAACAGCCAGTGTTTGGGGAACGGCTGAAGCTGAAGAGATGCAAAGTTGAACCAAGGACACCGTTCTTATCAATCAAGGCCTTTATCAACAGCTGTTATTAACCCAATCAATGCCTGTTTGTCTTGCGATATGCTACATAATGTAGCATATGGCTTTCCTCTTTTCATAGCGTGTTTTCTGTAATGGATTACGGTTGCAGGAAAATGACAGTAGAGATAAGGGTGAGATCAGAGGCGCTTGAGGTTACTGGCCAAGGTCTTCACTTCTCTACTAACTCACTTCAGCACAGACGAGAACAAGACAAAGACAGTAGCTAATACACCAAAAAATAGGAACTAAAGTATTATATGAAGAGCTATGGTTCAACAGTGATGTTTACATACAATGTAAAAAAAGACAGATAACCTTTAGTTCTCACTTTCTCACACTGTTTTGTTTTCACATCAAATAACATCTCTGCTGTTATGTGCGCAGTTTTTTCACCTGTTATGAATAGTTTGTTGTTTTTTATACTCAAATACGTAAGAACAGATTTTTTTTCCTTTAAATTACCCTACCTAGTTCAAAATTCCTTTTAATCTGAGTATGCTATTTCTAGTAACTACAGAGAATTATTTTCTTATGTTGTAAATTTTACCAGTGTCATCTATCCTGTTTTTCACTTCCTGAGAAAAAAAAAAAATCAAACTAAGCCTGAAATGTCCAACTGTTCAAGAATGAAGCAGATTCTGCACCCCAGAAATTAACATGCTTTGGTTTAAAATGTATCAAAAACTTTGTGAAGATGTAAGTTGATGCTGTAAATAGAGAGTGATTATCCAGAGTGAAGTGAGTCCCACACTGACCAGACCAAGAGGCCCCTCAGAGAGGAAGAAGCTGATACAAAAACTCTAATTTTGGGGGGACATGACCTCATGTTTCATGAAACTAAAAATTAAGGATTTGATTAAAGTCCAGTGACTTTAATTTGCTTTTAAAGAAAAATAGCAGAATCTTACAAGCCTGAGAACAACATCCTGTCTTCCTGTGATAGCAGCTGTCACTGGATGATCTGCCCCAGAAGAATAATCTGCACAGCTCTTTTCCACAGGCGCTAAAGTAAATACATCTGGAAGGGTATTTTTTTTTTTTTTGTTGCCTTTTTTTCTTTATTTCATTGTAATAATAAAATGATATATTATTTAAAAAGAATAATATAGAAACGGTTCAGTTGCATTCTGCTAGACTCCATTGACTGCTTTACTTTGAAAATAATAAAACAGAGACAAATTAATCTCTCATGAATAGATGGGACAAACCCTTGTACGGTCAGATAACAACTTTAGATATTGTAATAAAAGATTGGACAACTATAAGATAAAGGTCTTTTCTTGTTTGTAATGGGTCCACTAGGGGGCGCTTTGACAGTGTAAATATGCTAGTCCAATACACAATTTTCTACTGACAACTATTAATAATTAAGGGAATTATAACATTGTCTGGATTTATAAGTTCTTTTACAGCAAGTAGTATTTTAATTACTATAAATAAATGTGCTATGCTCTACATAGAACATGGAAAGCATAAATCCTTTAAATGGCTCAACGATCAGAAAGTATTTATTTTAGCGTACAGGTAAATGAGCTAACTGTGCTAGTAGTTTTTGGGGTGTTTTTGCTGGGGGAGACAGCGATGACAACTAAACAAAATATTCCAAAGTCAAACAGTATAAAACAAACAGTATAAAAGTAATTTTACCAAGTATTAAGAAATTGTAGCTAAACATTTGTCAAGCAAGTAGTCTGCTTAGTTGAGATACCTGTTGATGCATATTTAACACATAACAGTGTTGTATAGCAGTTGGATTGTGACCAATATTTCATTGTAAATTTATAGTACTAAGCTTTCTTTGAAATGCTGTGATGATTAACCTGACTTGATTGCACAAAAACCTAAACCTAAACCTATAATTTCTTGCTTTGCAATAACAGAATCAACAAAATAATCAGCTTACCTGAAAAAAGAAAAATATGTTTAATTTCCTTTATGACCAATTTTGTTTAATGTTTTTAGGTTGGATTATACATAAATTTCTATGTTTTGTAAACTGTCTTAAATTTTTAGCTCTTTAAAATCTGAGTACTTAATTTAGCACTCTCTCACACTGTTTTTTGAGTGTGAGAGAGTGCTAAAAAATAATTATTTTTATTTGTACTACAAATGAAAATTACCTTAGAGTTTAGAGATTCAAAAAATGTGTAAATCATTCTCAACGCATTTGACAAAACAGAAATCATGTAAGAAATATTAACTGACCTACAAGGTAAAGTTGTCTGATTTAATGTCAGACAGTAGGCTTTGTGTCATTATATAAAGTAAATATAAAGATCTGGTTTCATCTGAATCACAGGCCTTTCTTTTTTTAAATCTCCTCACTCTTCTCATCAGGGAAAAAAAACAGTATTATCGATTTCCTCAACCGCTTTTTACTTTACATAGAGCACTTGAGTTTTCACGACAATCTATGATGAAGAACTCAGCACTCGTCAACTTTCCCTTTTAATTTCCTGTCAGGCATCTCGCACTAGATGAAAATATGAGTGGAGCGTTGATCTGGACCTCATCCCGACTAATGTGATGGTAGATGAATGAGTGGGAGCAGTAATCACAAAGTGGTAGACTGCACTGCACCCGCTGAAAGATGTAAATGCACCATTGTTCATTGTCTTAATGGTGCTGTTGATAGTCTGCACGGTTTGAGAGCTAAATAAAGAGAGGCATTTAACTGCTGAGTTGATGAAGCACTACCAAAGAGGCCACAGTGTGCTCATTATGGGGCTTCTCAAAGTGGACATTTGTGCCAACTCTTCCTCCCTTGTCTCCTCTTATTTGTCGGCGTCCCACAGGCGCTTGTTCTGTGGCAGCCTGTGGCGAAGGATCTGCAGCTGCCCAAATGTGTCTGAAGGTGTGAGTATTGGGATCGATGCAACATGTGGATGCAAAGCTCAGCAGTCGCACTTCAAACCCCGCTGTGCTGTGGTGAGATTCTACTGTAGCAGTAAACAGCTCTGCAGGGAAGGGTTACCTCTTAGCCACATTTGTCAATTTTGGGTTGTTAGATTCCTACAAGCGCGTCCGTAATGTTTCTTGATGGTTGGTGTCCTCTATTGGGACAGATTCACAGTCAAAAACCTGTGGCCTCCTGTTTATTTAATTAAGCAGCTATATAGCGAAAGCCTCCTATAGTTTTTGTGTGACCCTAATGAAACTAATACACATCCACCAGTTGAGTGTCGAAAGAGTGAACATTTTATTTAACTGCTTTCACTGATAGTTTTGAGAACAAACAGACTTTTAACTTTAACTTTTAACTACTTTTAATTGGCTGTAACAGGTTGGCCTTTTGCGGCTGGATTTTTCAGTGCAGATTGATGATATCAAGCAGAGTTTAGGTGGAACCGCAGGTTTATTCCTCCCAGCATCACAAACAATGTCACACTCTTGGTCTTACAAACATCTCAATGTCTCAATATCTGTCTCACAGGTGAAAATTGCAATCTTAAATAGTCCCAGCTGTGACAGTTAAAACAATCTGAAAATTCATAAGATAATCCCATCTTACCCTGTTCCCCTTATTGAATAAAAACATTTAACTACAACCACATCAACTTCCTTTTTATAAATATTTTTTATGTTTTATCCTTACCCTTACTAAAACACCATAAAACAGTACACCATAAAACAATACACCCTCTCCCATTTTTCTCAATGGTCTCTCCCAGGACCTATATCATTGTCCAGCCCCTTAGGACAATATTTGTCCAAACATCCTGAGAGGACACATAAAAAGACAGGTGAGTCACTATATTAGCACATTCCACACCTAATAAATTATGCACATCATTTATTAGTTTTATCCACCAATAGCTCATTGCTCTGAGTATCAATTCTCCTCTCTTCACAGTTAACCACCTCACTGGCCAATGAGGAGCAGCTGTGCAGAGCCAGAACAAAGGCTACACACCAATCCCTAAAATACTCAATAAATACAATTAAAACTTCTGAGTGCAAAATGTTAATTTATAGATCTATTTTAAAAGTGCAGTGCTAAATAAAGTGCATAGTGAGAAAGTGCAAATGTTTTTACAGTGCGATACAATACATTGAATAAATTAATTCAGTAATGAAGGCCTCTTCATTACATTTCCTCCCTCCTCTTTTCAGAGCTCAGTATCTCAGTCCTCTGAGACTCTGGATAAACAGTCAGCAACCACATTCGACTTTCCTGGCTTGTACTGAACTGTAAAGTCAAATGGCTGCAGTGCCAAGTACCATCCAGCGATGCGAGCGTTGGCATCCCTCATCCGTCTCAACCACTGAAGAGCACGATGGTCAGTCTCCAGGATGAAGTGACGTCCTAACAGATAATACCTGAGAGCCTCAATAGCC